CAAATCATTATTCCCTATCCGTCAATCCTTCTCACGTAAATGTAACATGCAACTAGATAAATGTATTACACATGTTTGCGTTATGAAATTGTCTACCACATTATTGTCATATGCTCTGGTGGCCTTTTGTTAAGTCTGCTTTGTATGCCATACTTATCAGCATTAAAATTAGTTCCGCACATATTTATGTGAACAATCCTTGAAACATTTCACCATAATAACCGTAGAATAAGCCATCGGTTACAGTGTAAACGCTAAAGTTCTGTCCACACTTAACTACTATTTTATTACTAACTTAATGAATTTCTGTGAGCAAAATCTCTGTATGAAACATATCGTCATTCATGTCGACATCTTAAAAAAACAGAGGTAACCATATGTTTTAAACAGAGATTTTATCCTCAGAAACATACAGTACTTATACCGTACGTAGAAACGTCAAATTTATCAATTTGACACATGAAACAATGACTTATTTAGTATTAGTTTATCTAATTAAGCGGTGATATCTATTTTAAAGAATGATATTTTTGTTTGTCACAATATGATTTGTATAGTACTTATGTATATTAAAAGAAAATACCTCATTTAATATAGACAATTAATCTGCTAACTAAAAGTAATACGAGTATCTCTAAATTTATCGATTGCTTTTATTGTACTTATGTGCTATTTCGTCTTTTCTGCTTCAGTGTGATACGAGCTTTATCCATACGTTACTAATCACAATTGTAACACGTCCGAGGCTGTATATAAATATAATGACAATTGACAAACGTTTATCACCGCCATAATGAGGGAATTTAAATTATGATTACACCGTGTTACAGTCAGTATGATGATTTATGGACGTAGATTTTTTTTTTGGTTTCCGTAACATTATACTTCTCCAAATTATGATTCATATTTGATAAAAAAGGGTAATATCATTTATCGTGGTATATAGAAACAAAATGATATTACATAATGTTTATTTTAGACACTGATTTTAGACAGTTATCTATAAATAAACTTATGTTAAACGGATATGTTTATCAATGGTAAATGTACAAAATAGCGTTAAAAGTAGGGCTGCCAATTTTCATTAGGCGTATATCCAATCACTGACAGTAAAAAAAACGTCGACTAGTAACACTGGACAACTCTTGATACCTTTGTGGATCATAATTTTTTTATGGCGTCATCTAGTGATTTGTTTTACATAACTTATTCTGAACAGATGATATATCAACCCTGTAGCTTGAACATACACCATGAAAGCTTAAATATGTGACAGCCCTATTTATAACGTGTATGGACGTGGTGTGGATGGATTACACTTTTTATCGTGCGTCGAATGTGCCCGATCCTACTCTATACAGATAACGAACGAGCAGGTATCTATGCTTAGTACACGAACAACGAACACATTGTTTAATGCAAACAGAATACCTGAACCGTAACATTCGCTTTTAGGTTTTCAAAGTTATTACGAAAGCACAATAAATTCTTTCGGCTGCATAAACTGCACGCAAGTATTACAATTTGAGAGCGTATAATAGTATTGGGGGAACTCTATTCCAACTAACGCATCCATCCTAGTCTCTCAAGAAACTATGAGATATTATTCTTAAGAAATTGTTTAGAATTAGAACCCCGGGTTATTTTGAATACCTAACATAAATAGTTTAATCCTTATCTATAAGAAGTACCTTTCTTTCGGAGGCTGTTAGTGGTGCGCTTTTCCTTAACATACTACAAAAGCATTTCACATGAACGAGTTAGATTAACAATGTTAATGTATACCACGTTATCTATATTATTCTATAGATATGTCATGAGTTAAGTTTACGTTAATTATTATTATTACATAGTCATATTATGTAGTACAACATTTTGTTTGAATTGTTTTCTTCTTTTTTTATATCATAAGGTGGCAAACGAGCGATCGGCCACTTGAAATCGCTGAAATCGCATCAGAGAAAATGCGGAATTGCTTCCACTTCACGCCTGTCTTCTGTGTGGTCGTGGTATTTCAGCGGGCGAGCCGGGCCAATTCGTGCGAAGATGTTAAAGCGGGCTCTACCACTGTTAAAGCTGTTGCTTGATCTCTATGGTTTCTCTGGTTATAATTCAATAATCTAGAAATAATACCGTTGCCAAAAGTTTAATACGTAAAGCAACGGAGTCATAACAATTTGGAATATAAGGCTAGAACCTAGAGAAAATTTTTAAATACTTACTATGCTACAAGCTCTAGTTGTAAAACTTAAGAGAATACAGCCTAACAATAGTAACAGTGGCCTAGAAACAAGTTGGCAAATGATTTTAGTGCCTCGGGTGCACTTCAGGAACATGAAGACTCGACCTTCTTTGTAAACTTGTCACCTTATAACCTTGAACTGTCCTTGATTGTTTATTTCAATGTTTGTACATCTTGAATCTCTAAAATTAACAAGCATTAAGTACATACAAATTATTTGATTTATTATTATAATTCATTAAGTCCCATACTACTATCGAATCCCAACGGTTATAGTCTCTAGCCTTTGTAAATATTAATCTAAAATAATCGAGATAGACTTTCTTTTCCTTATGTATTAAATGTTTTCATTGTGTTGCAACCTTGCACCAGTTGTTTCATGGCTATGATGGTACATTAGTTTGTAATTTGCAGTGAAATATGCAGCTGATATTGGTCAAATAGTGAAATGACAGCTACCCATAGACAACTAGAAATATTATTTCTCAAATATTTAAAATGCTTTATGGAAATTATTCTAAATCACGTATAATATGAAGGGCAATAACCAGTGTACATTCACTCGGAATTAACTAATTATTACAGTAAAGTAGATATCAAAGCAATTATCGCTAGCGCGTTAAACGAATTGTGAAAAAAATGAGTGCCTACAGTTATATCGTGAGTCATTTTAACAGCTGGTTTCTACCGCTTTGACACTTGTATTGACACTATTGTTGTCTCGGTCTTTTCAAAGAGAATATGAAGGATGACAATATGTGTTACGGTAGTTAAAACCCACATTAACAATGCCCCGTATTGGCAACAAAACGGTATACTGATTATCGCCCCCATGCCGACAGCATTGAACATACAAGTTCATTGAAAACTCAAATAAGATAAAAATGTACGCACGCTTTAAACGTGTTTATAACTTTTTTATATTGGAGGCCAAATTCTAGTCATTTCAATTCTATTTTCCTAAGAAAGAACGAAGAAATGAACTCGTTATAGAAATAAAATTATCCTTTTATTCTTTCTCATTCTTTGTCACGACTGCTTTAAAATATCAAAGGGGAGTAGAGTGCCATGATTGTTTAAGTAATAAACTGAAAAGTTTTGCAATAGCACCTTTTCAAATAAAAACAATAAAAGAAATACTTGCAAAATGTAATTACAACATATACTTTTTAAAATTCTTTATATTATACTTACAATGCATTTTAAAATCACACTTCCGACCACATTCAAAGTCCATTATTTAAAACGACTCTTGTAACATTTTTAAGTTCTTAAAAAGCGCTAAACAATGTATTTTAAAGCTTACACTTCCCTTTTAAAAAAAGTATTTCTTAAAACTCTTATAACGTAACTGTGCCATGTTCACTAGACTTATTTTGTTAACCGACTTCAAAAAGGAGGAGGTTCTCAATTCGTATGTATATTTTTTATTTATTTTTAGTTTATTTCACTTTATTTTATATCATTTTACTTTACCCTTCTCCTTGGGTTTGCTGTCAACGACGAATTGAATTTATTTCTTTAAAACTGTTATATATTAATCTTATTGTCTTACTAAATATCTTTTTATTTAAATATTATCATTCTCTTCTCTCATCTTCATAATAAACTGCTATAAGTCACCGTAAACCGTTTTCTACTAAAAGATATTTCTTAAAAGCAAGTACTTAGTCTGTAGAATGTAGAAATCTTTTCTGACTGAGATCCATTCATTCTTGGAAAGCTTTGTTTCCACTTTTCATTAAAGCCCCGTTCACATTGACAGCTTTCTATTTCACAGATTGAAAATCTCACATAGCTAGAGCGCTGTACGAAACAAAAAGTGAAAACTTAGATGAAAATTCTCTACCAACTTCATCTTTTATCCTTTGAAGACAAGCGTATCGATATCAAAGAGTATATTTCTGTCAGCGAACAAACGTAATATAAAATAAAATATATGTGCTCAAAACGTTGCTACGCAAAACTACAATTTATATCTAAATTGTTATAATGTAACTGTAAACAATGTTATACTCCGTCATAAACTCACTAGCAACTTTATAAAATATCATAAATAAAATTGTCAGCTGATTGCAGACTTTTCCGTACGTGAGTTGAGGATACAATAGTCTCAACTAAGAATCCCGTGCGTCTATAAATCAAATAAATTTTCGATAATAATAATGAAATACGTAATTTAAAATCCCTTCGAAATTGAATTCAATTTCATTTAACGAAAAAGTCGCGATCACCTAGATAGAACAAAATAAGGAATTAAAGACTTAATTAGTACAGTTAGTATGGGCTATTTAAAGTTATCGTAACTCATTAGGTGCGACTACCTCCGGCTTACACAATGGATGAAAGCGGGTCCTGATGGAAAGTGAGATTAAGTAGAAAAAGTCAGCTCTATCTGCGATCCAATTAGAACTTAACGACGGCACCTAACTCAATGAAAAGCTCGCCTTCATAATGTCTAATGAATCTTAGAAGCGCCAAATGAATGGAAAAATGTAATGAGACCTCATTAATGTTTAATATCTCTTTTGTTGTTCTTGTAAGGAATAAAATTATTTACTTATTTATATTATAAAGGTTAAAAAACTGTGTCGCGTTAATGTTGAATAAAAATATACTTTTACATAGTATAATTGTATATGTCGCTGCCCATTGAGCTGTTCAAACAGTACACAATCCAAATTTTTAAAGAAATTAATAGAAAATAATCTCTCGAACTTTTCTTAACGTCTTGGCACTTTTTCTTATTATTCTACAGATGTGATGGTTACTCCAAGGGCGTTCGTGTGATGGGAGGGTTATTGCGGTGAGGCGAGGTGTGCGGGGTGAGCGGGCATGTGGGCGCGCGGGGCGCGAGCGCTGCGGCGCGGCGTGCTGCTGCTGCCGCTGGCGTTGACAGCGCTGGCGCTGCTGCTGCTGCCGCGCCCGCCACCGCTGGCCGCGCCATCGCGGCTGCCCTCGCCTCCACCCACCAGGGATGAACCACGACTTCAGGTTATAACACACGTTAAATTTTAACCGTTCCGAACCCGCAGCGCCTCGGATCAACAACGGCTTAGCGTCCACCTGCGTGTTAACGCTCGAAAAGTAAAATCAATTCCAAAGTAAGAAACACAGTTTGCAATGATTAAAGGGTTATCAGTAGTTGCCTACACCCATTTACCTATCTCCTTCTGTGAGGCAATCACGATTTGGAGGTATAGTCATGAATATACCTTAGCCTTTTGACTTTTGTATTTTTAAGCTTCCATATTGTATTTTCTCACAGCTAACTGAACCTGTAGAGGAAGTGGAGCGCGTTGTCGGCGAGCCGTCGCAGCGGGAATGGTTCCTGCGCGGCGGTGAACGGCGACCGCGCCGGCACGACCCCAAGGCAAAAGTCTTCCCAGAAGATGCACCCGGCGATGATAGGTAAAAATAATACACATTCGTTAGAACCTTCAAACTTGACTAAATTGACCCACCGAGATTCCAAGACAACTGTAAATATGTATGTCTTCATTAAACCTCAATTTCAGTTACAAGGGCAAGTAAAACACCACGTACCATTCTTGTAACTAAAAAACAACAGTTCTCCTTAGTTTCTATCGAGCATCATTTAGTATAATGACGTTAATGTTTGATGCAAAAAAAATCTCTACTCTTTTTACTACAGGATCTACGAGCAGCTTATGTATACATTGCCGTCGGATGAAGATGTACCGATGAAGAGAATCCTACTTGCAAACGGTCTGGGCACGTGGGGAGTGTCCGGCGGCCGGACGGAGTTTATCCGGAACAAGTGTCCAGTAGACCGCTGCACGCTTACCGCGGATACCAGGGAAGCGGCGACCGCTGACGCCATCTTGTTCAAAGACCATCATACTCCTTTCAACGTCAATCGTCCTATTAATCAGGTAATTAATATTCGTAGACACAAAAGTAAGCTTCATTACAAATTTAATATCCTCTTTTTACTTTCCTAACGTTTAATTTAAACGTAATATGAACGGAAATGTCGAGGTAATTTTAAATGCCAAATATGGGCGTGTTCAGGGAAAACGACTAGATTGGTGACCTACATATCGGCGTATTCGCAGATATTAAAAAGTACTTTTAAATGTACAATAATTGACTGTTGTGTAAAGTGCTAAAATATTTATTGATCAAGGTAAACACTGTTTGAGAATGATAAGATAATTAACACTCAATGCATACCTATATTGCCACTAATTCTTCATATCTTATCACATAGATTACCAACACCAAAGTTAACAAATGTCTATTCCTAAAGTTACTTTGGCTTCATATGTTTTATTTACATGATTTCCTGATTTAATCTGCCACCAATTCCTAAGTCATAGTCAATGACTTAAGAAAACAATGTCTTGACTTACAAAGAGAGAAGGAAAGTGCCTACTGAAAAAATCAAAGCATAACATAACAAACCCATTTTAAATGTCCTCTTACGATTAATCTTTTAAAACTACCGACAGAAGATCTCGTTATTTGAGCCTTGTCATTTCGTTCATCTTCACGTAGCCTTTAATCGGTGACTTCTTTGTGGTTACACTTTAGAATAGACAACTATATTATTTTACAAATAACGTCGCAGATCTGGATCCTGTACTACTTGGAATGTCCTTACCACACGGCGTCGTTGCGGCCGGCCTCGCTCGATGTCTTCAATTGGACAGCCACGTACAGGCGCGACTCGGATATTGTGGCGCCCTATGAACGCTGGCACTACCACGACCCACGTGTCACTGACAACCAGCTCGATAGGAACTATGCCGCTAACAAGACTAAAAAGGTATGGAGCAAAGAGATTGAAAATGTAAAACTATGCAGCTAATTAGACTAAAATGTTACAGAGTAGATACGAATAAAAAGGTTTTATTGTAGGTTTGTTATACAAAAATTACGCTGATTCTAAGTAACCCTTTAAGCATGTGGCAGTTCACTTCTAATGTGACCTTTCCGTGCATTTTGTCTTCACATATTATTATTTGTAGGTAGCGTGGTTTGTATCGAACTGTCACGCACGAAACCGTCGACTGCAATACGCACGCCAACTTGCGAAGCACATCTCAGTGGATATTTACGGCGCGTGCGGCTCCCGGCATTGCCCGCGCGCAGACCCTAACTGTCTAGAAATGCTGGATAATGACTACAAGTTCTATTTAGCATTCGAAAACTCTAATTGTCGGGATTATATCACTGAGAAGTTCTTCGTTAATGGATTACAGTAAGTTATTATGTTAAGTGATAAAAATATGATAGATTACTAATATTCTAACTCTAGACGTAGACTATAACGAGTCTTACTTTGTGGAACAAAAATCCAGTAACTTTTGAAAATGTCTGAAATAAAAAAATAACTATAACCTCCTTGTGTAACAGGCACAACGTACTGCCGATAGTGATGGGCGCGCGACCGGCGGAGTACGCAGCGGTAGCGCCACATAACTCCTACATACACGTGGAGGAGTTCGCCGGCCCCGAGGAACTCGCTGCCTACTTGCACCGACTGGACGAAGATGATAACTTGTACAACTCTTACTTCAAATGGAAGGCAAGTGAACAGTCGCTCAATGAACATATAGTGAGCGATATACTTTAAGAGATTTTATTGTTCTTGCTAAATCTACAACAGTACTTGTTAGTGTGCTTGTGGTTCAAAGATTATTTTAATCAATTACTTGTGTTTCATATATAATATTTAATTGCAGGGTACAGGTGAATTTATAAACACGTACTTCTTCTGTCGCGTGTGCGCGATGGTGCACGCGAACGCACGCCGGCAACGCAGCGCTCACTACGCGGATGTGCAGGCGTGGTGGCGCGGCGCCGCCTGTACACGCGGCGAATGGCGCGCACCCGCTAGAGACCTCGTCTAGTACACAATTACCATCTGCACTAAGCTAACTTGAACCTAGGCCATCTACTGCTAACAACTCTCCCACAGGCAAGCAGGTGGACCTAGTTTATATAACAGAATTGCAGTGAAAATAGTTGCAAAGTCGGACCTAACCTATACAAGTAAATCCATCTATATACATATGTATAAAATAACATACAAGATGTATCCTACACTACACAGTGACCTAATGGTTGCATTCGGTCAAACCTGGGCAACACACAAACATGCAACACGCACAATGTTTTGATTTTTTAAAAGGTATTCTTGTGACGACTCACAAATTGACAAACAATTTAAGCAAATATAAAAAAAAACTACAATTTGTCCATAACATAATCTGGCGTACTCTAATGGAACCTTATTGTTTGTACGTGTGTCACATCAGGTTTAAGTAATAAGAGGCTTAATTAAAAAAATCTTATGCGTATAAAAGACAAGACTCATTGAATAAATGTGTTTGTAATAATACTAAATAACCATAAAAAGATTAAAGAAAAAATGTTAGTTTTGTAGTATGTTGGTTTAAATAAAATTTCAATATTATTCTAATAAGAACGACATGTACCTACAAATTTAGAGAGAAGTTCTTTAAACCATCGTCGAAACTTAAAAATACGACTAATTAACCAAAGAAAAATTGCACAGCAGAACTTGGGGTAGGTGATAGGTGGATTATTGGGAAAATTGCGTCCTAGTCAAGTCCACGCTCAAATTATGAAGGTATTTTAGATAGAATTAAAGTTGCAATAGACCAACAATATTCAAGTAAAACAAGGCAACTGCCCTACCTTAAAGTTTACGAACCTTGAAACCTTCTTTGGTTCAAATTTAAAATAATAAACATTAATTTAAACTCAATTATTTTATGAAAACATTTAATAAAATTATTAAATCATCCTAAGCACAAGGGCTTAAAAAGAAAAATCTTTTTGTTAAATTAGAAATAGATTTTATTAAAAGTGTGGCCAATAAAAGCTTGTAGTAGGCTTCCGTTAGATTTTGGAAGCGATTGTTGTGAAGAAATGAGTATGCATAAAAACATTCCTTGTCGCTGAGAAATGTCGTTTTCGCGTCCATAAATATGTGTATTTCATGATAATTGTGGTTGAATGTTGTTAATTTATCCTGATTAGCTAATAAAAAAATAAGGAGAATATTGGAAAATTATATTTTAATATGTAAATAAAGACATTGTATGTTGCTCTTTGATTTAAAACATTGGTGAAAGCTAACAGTGCCATTGGACATTCAATAAAAACCGAAAGAAGAAAAAAACAATACACTCTAAATTACATTTTTTGTTTGTTACTTAATTTTAATAAACTACTCGGTAGTTACCTTTTTTAATTTTTTAAGTGTTGTCTGTTTTGAGTGACTTTTTTTTGTGTTTTTTGTAAATTATGATTATGAGTGGTTATTATAATTTATTAATTTATAGTCTGTGAGGCATTCCTTAGGATTCTTGTAGGAGTTGAGCCAAATTCTCTGGACATTTGAAAAAAACTGAATAATGAAAAATGAATGCGAAACTAATAAAATTTTGTACTTTGTAATATTCATATTTTCTTTTTTATTAACTTTACACGTAATTTTCTTTGCCAAAGCTCAACATAATGTCTAGTCAAGGCTCTATACTTTGAGCAATATTATTCAAAAGAATATTATTGCCTATAATACATTTCGCACAAAATAACTTTGCATTTTTTTATTAATTTATATTTGACTTCTACAAGAAGTATTTTCTTCTGTTAATCGTGTAGTTATTTTCTACGTTTTGTTATTGTGTTTTTCTAACTCTTAATTACTTTGTAAATATCTAGACTTATAAGTATAATTAAGTTACGTTGTCTTTAGATAATTTTAAATTGTTCCTGTTTAATTATTCTAGTGATAATATATTGATTGTACTTAATAGCACAAAAAAATATTGTCGAACGATTATTTATATTACACTACACGTTTTATTAGCATTGGACAGTAAGGAGAAAATTAAGAAATTTTATTTCGCATTTTATAATAAGAATATTATAAAATGCGAAAGTTTAGATGGGTAGATGGATGTTTATTATTACGTGTCTTCAGAAGGGCTAAATGGATCTCGCTGAATAGTGGAACGTAGTCTATAAGAACTAATTAAGTTTTTTTTTTATTCCGTGGCGACGGCGTTGCGGCCGACGGCTGCATGTTTATAAAAAGACCTTTTAAGTAAAAGGTAAAATAACCAGAAGTAAAACATCATGTTATATTTATTTTTACACACATAATTTTATTAACATCTACTCTTTCCTTTAATCCAATATTTAAATAGGCTCCATCATAATACTAATAAATTTTGGATATGAGCTTTTGACGTTATTCTTTTTATGTATAGGATCATACTGCCAGTTCTTAATGATTGTAATAAAATTTAAAAAAGAAATTCCTAACCATTTAATTAACAATAAACAATTGAAACCTTAGGTATGTGAAATTAATATTTAAACAGTAAAAAAGAGTTACTACTGATGTCTATAAAATCTTTCACGCGTCTTTAATGTAACATATTTACCTCAAAGGTCTATTTTTAAACTGCAGGTTATGATAATAAAACGTGTAGTTTCATCACTTAATATTTGCATAAATAAACTGTGATCATTAAACATGAAATTGACATAGCTTATCGGAGAAAAACATTCCTTCTTTTTCTCATAGGGAATATGTAAAAATAGTCTCGCCTGGTACAACCGCGTGCCTCAAAACGTAGCGCTATCAATGTAATAATTTGTTATGAATGTTTACATTAAGTATTAAATATATCAAAATGCATACATGACTACCGTTTTTGTATTTATGCATGATAATAAATTATTAAAAATCATTTTGTAATCATCTCAATTGAATAAAAATAACAATTGAATCCATTCCATTTTACGCAACATCTGCAATATTAAAAGAATTGATTGTTTTAAACATTTGTGTAAAATCAAATAGATTGTTAAAAAGAAAAGTGTATTTTATTATCCTTCTTCCCTTTATGACAAATTTTCGTGGTTTAAGATTTTTTAACCTTAAAAGCTGTTAAAAAAAAACAAATGTTATGTTTAACATTTATTAAATACACTGAATATTTGTACATAAGACCTTAAATTTATTAATCCTGGATACTTAAATTAAATCATTTGTCAATAGCTTTTTGTATTGTTTTAAAGCTTCCATATTCTTCATGTTCTCGAGTAAACGTATTTGCAAGTTAACACAGTCCACGACCACATCTATGGTTCTCCGGAAGACTTTCTTTGCCTCATGTAAGTTTTGTGGCACCAATATACCAAACCAGTGTAATGGATTAATTGTATTACTATCTTTATTTTCTACTACTTGGAGTTGCTTATTATTATCTATCTCTGTTTCTTCACAAACAGTTGATGCAGAGAACTCTGGACTGGTTTCGACTGGAAGTCTAGTCGTGCTAACTGAAGTATGGCCCATAATATATCTGGACTTGGCAAGATGTATGCTGCCATGTTTTATATTTGATTCCAAAATGAGTTCATGTTTCATTTTTTCCTCCATCAAATGTAGTTGTTGAAGTAAAGTTTTATCCAACAATTCACAAACAGTGTCCATTTCAACTTTATCAGTGATACCTAAAACATAATTGTAATTTATTTTGTACCTTATACAATGAGGATTTATTAATGAATAGTCACTGAGGTCACTTCATAAGTTACAGGAAAATATTATGCCCGTTTTCATCTTTTACAAAATATTAAAAACTATACTATACAATACAGTTATGTTTTTATTACCATCTGCTTTAGAATCCATCCTTGTCACAATATATTATGTTTAAAAAAATTCGATAAACAATAAATGTACCCATACAGTATCACCTGACTTTGACAATCAAAGACTATATAGAATAGACCCATAGATAAATTATTAATAATGTTGCTAGTTAAGAACATGTCCCACATTTATTTGAGGTTTAAAAAATATCTAGTTCCTAAATTATACGATTACGTTTTATTTGTGCAATATGCGTTGTGCATTTTGCAATGGATGCAATGCATATACGATACTAGAATTAGACCTGCTGATGTCTAAATAAATAAATATAGTAGGCAGTCTATGCATATTTCGTACTAATCGCTGAATATAATGCCTATTTGTAATGGTCAGAGGTTCTAAAACTTAAAAAATGCAACAATGAAAAGTTAGCAGCAAAGATTGAATGAATGAAATGCATATCAAAAAAATAAAAATTGTCTTTGTTTCAACTTGTTTTCCGATTTCCGCCATTTTGTCCAATGGTGATTAATTTTCGTAAAACGCCTTAGTATCGTCTCTGTGTTTTAACGAGATTTTAACTAGCACTGAAATTAATACCGAACTTTAAAAGTTATTATTAGAATCCCAAAATAACAACAAGCTATGTCGGACCGAAAAAGACTATTAGAGGAGCTAAGGGTGATAGACTTACGCGTAGAATTGGAAAAGCGTAACCTGGATAAGACCGGTATACGTAGTGTGCTTATTCAACGGCTAAGTAAGGTAATAAGTTGATAAAATAATTCAACGAGATTGATAAGATGAAAATAAAAATTGTAATCAATGTGTGTTTAGTTAACCTAAATTTATGCCACTAAATTTTTGTGGGCTGAAGTGCCTGTCACCTACAATTATAACCCTCAATCAAATCAAATCTAAAATCTCATGAAAATCAAATCTAAATTGAATTTCGTTTTCATACAGTATTTGGAGGAGGAGGGACATGATCCAGCCACATTCAAATTCGAGTTATCTACGTCAGATGGTAAGACGCCAGTAAAGAAAAATAGACGCACTGAGAGTGCTAAAGAGCCAGATTCTGAAGAGACTCCTGTTATGGAGGATATGATTGTACAAGATACAGCCGGCGACGAAGACGACATCGAACAAACACCTGAAAGTAGCCAAAATACTAAAATTGTGGAGAAAAAGGAGAAATCCGAAGAAAAAATGGATGTTGATGACACTAGCAAAATTAATAGAAAAAGGGAAATGAAAGATGACCCTGAAGCGACGCAAGCAAAGAAAGCCTGTATGGACAAGGAAATTAAAACCGAAGACGATCATAAAATTGAAAATAACACAGATGCTGAAGACAGTATAAATCTAGATATTGGCGATGATGAATTATTAAATGAAGAGGTATGTTTTTATATCTTCAAAGTGAATGTTACGCTACCCCTAAAAGGTCACAAAATTTCCAATGGGTACATGATGGAAGTAGATTAGTACACAATATTCAGACTATTTTATAATAAAATATTTGCATTAGACAATGTTCTATTCTTTTAATAGTCACTGAGCTAACTTAGATTGTTAAGTTGACTATCTAAAAGTGTAGTTTCATCAACATTAAAATCACAGAACTTGATTTTATCTATGCTAACACATCATACTCACTAAATTTTCCCTTTATTTCAGACTGACAATCCAGCAAAAATCAAAAAAGGTAAGTTTTTCATTTTAATCTATTAGTGCAAATTAGGTAACTTTTTTTTCTATAACTAATATAAAAAAAGTTGATTAAGGTAAAATTAATCATAAACTTCTATACAACATTAACGTTATGAACAATTTTGTGAAGTGTTGCCTGGCATAGGAGCAGAGAAACATTGAAATGAAGACAAGCAATTTAAAAGGAGAATCAATGGTAAAACTTCAGACTCAAATGGGAACAGTGACAGAAGAGGAGAAATTGTAAAGAACCCCTGAGAGCACTTATTAAAGAAAAAACAAATGTACAATGAGAATTATTTAAAGCATTGTTAAGGTGGTTTTCTCCAATTAGTTGTAACACCAGACACTTCTTTTCCCGTCTTCCATAAAAACATTTCAGTTGTCAGGGAAACCGTGGTTGTCGCTCCATGCATCCAGTAAAGGCCCCAGTGGTGCTAATATCAAATCAAGTTTTCAGGTCAAGATTTGTTATCCTCACTGTGAAATATTTGAAGTGCAAAGTGCAAGTAGTTATAGAAGACAGAAGAACAGGGCGAGCCGCTCCCAGCGAGCGACTCGTGCTGGCTTGCTGCTCTTGCTGCCTGTGCTGACCATCGGTACTGACTTAGATGAACCGGCGCATGAGGACGAGGTGGGGGCGACGGGCGACGAGTCGACTGCGAACAGCTCCGCCGCCGCCGCCGACACCGCGCCTGCTGAAAATCAACAACAAGTAAACACAGAAGCCCCGGCCACTAGGTTGGTGAACGTCGAACGGCCGTCGCGACGCCCGCGCGCATCTAAACCGATTATAATACGTACATTTTATATTCGTCTATCACTACAAAGTTTTGCACCACCAAGAGGGATTATTACATTGGAGATCAACAAAACTTCCTGGACTGTTCTTCATGCTGCATCAGTTACCTGTACACAAAGACAACAAGCAAATGTCACCATCTGAAGCTTCAACAGCAACTGCAACATACTACCATCTACAGCATCTCGAGCAGCGGGCAACAGTCTTCATGCATCAGCAGGGCAAAACTGCTGCGGTCATCGTGTTTCGTCGCATCAACTCCATGAAAACTTGGTGCAAAACTTTGTAGTTGTGTGTGTTCTTCTAAAAAAAATAAATGTTTAGAAATTTAGAACTAATTGCACCTTAGGTATTTTGAGATCGGGAATTTTATTGATTTATATTATTACTAAATTTTGAAACTTTTTTTTCAGTAATGACAATGAAAGGAGTGACAAGGAATCAAAAGGTAATACGATTTTAGTAATGTTACTACAGTAATAAAAACCTACTTAATTTATAAAAATTGCATGTTTTACAAACTCCTTTTTTAATTACAGAAGACAAAGTCAAAGACAATGAGAGTGAGAAAAGCAACAAGAAGGATGATAACAAGGAAGGGGGCGCCCGCAACCTGTGGGTCAGCGGACTATCTGGTGACACACGCGCTAAGGACTTGAAGCAGCTATGCAGTAAACATGGCAAGGTAGATAACTACAAATGTCTTCTTCTACCAAGATTTACCACTGCAGAAACATTTAACATAAAAATCAGGATTATTTTTAAATTTTAGCCGTTGCGTAATTGTGTATTTTGATTTCTTATTTATTTTTCTTTTACATTATTAAGGTGATTGGAGCGAAAGTAGTAACAAACGCACGCACGCCGGGTTCAAGATGTTACGGTTATGTTACAATGGCCAGTGCCCAAGATGCAGAAAATTGCATTAAAAATCTCCATAGAACTGGTAAGTTAACAACATTACTATAACTACTACTTGAAAAATAAATACATACATACAAAAGATCAATCTTACAATGACTACTAATATATTTATTTGTATATTTACGCCTTTTCCAAGTGTTACATGTAATTTCTAAATACTTGAACTACTAAAAAACTTTAATATAAGTTATAAATATCTCTTTTATATATTTTTTTTACTTAAAACTTTTTAATGTAGCTTGCTGTACTTTAACTTTTAGAACTGCATGGACGTATGATATCAGTGGAGAAAGCAAAGTCTGAATCTGAGTCAGCGTCGCGCAGGCAGACCGCCTCACGCACTGAGCGCAGACCAAGCAAGGACCGTAAAGAAGATATTAAAGAGAAGGAGGTAATTTGTTCATAAATATTATAAATTATGACAGTGAAAACCTACTGTAAGAGTATGATGTTTAGTTAACTTAAAATTAATCACTATACTATACCTATAACTAGACGCAAACAATTTATAAATTAAAAATAACAAAAACTTCAGGGCTTATCTATAGTTATTAAAAATCTCTTTTCATTTGTGGTTAACAATTTTATCTATCATGTTTTAGGAGATTAAAGAACCTGAGAAAACTAGTGATACAAAACCTACGAAAGAGGGTGATGTGTCTGGTGCAGAGAGTAATAGGTCTACATCTCGTACTAGAGAGAAGTCGCACAGGTCTGACAAGGTAAAGATCAAATTTTTAAACTTTCCTAAGACATTAATAAAATATAGAAGAGTAAGGAACAAAGATCGGAAAGACCCACGATGGTGGCGAAACTGAGTTCATTCTTATTTAGTTTTTAAGTTAAAGATCTTTAAATTCATTGATAAATATTTGGTTGATTCCAGGATCGTACCCGACGCAGTACGCGAAGCAGGGAGCGTAGACGGTCACCACGAGAAGTGCTATCGTTTTCTAAGATTTGGGTGAGTAGAAAACTTATCACTTATATACTAAATATCCTTTAATTTCACCTAAAATAAAAAAATACATAAGCCGCACTTAACCTATATTTCTTATAATAAATTTACACCAAGGATATAAAAGATAATTATGATTGCAGAAAGAGCGCGATGTAGCAAGAGCGCGGGAGAGGTCGCGCGCCGCACGTGAAGAAGAGCGCAGAAGACGCGCCGCAGAGGATGCGCTAAGGGAGAGAGAGAGACGACAACGTCAAGAGAAGCACCGCCTTGCTATTGAGAGGGAAAAGCTGCGCGCCGAAAGGTATTACTTCCTTCTACCTTCTATTTTAATCCTGTTTATTGTTTACATGTTTGATAAAATGTTTGGTCGTTTACAAACTTTATTGCTATCAATCAATATTGCCATATGAATATGTTCAATTTCTACTGTTTGTAAAACAGCAGAGATGTTATAAAAAGTAGTCATGTTTTAAATTTTGTCCATGATAATTATTGAGTTATAATTATGTTTTTCTTTCAGAGAGAAGATTGAACGAGAAAAGAATGAACTTTTGCGTTTAGAGCGAGAGAGACATAGATTAGAACGGGAGAAGTTAGAACTGGAAAGATTGGAGTTGAAGAGAGCACAATTAAGGTCGGTTACTTTAAATAATTCATAAAAGAAATTTTAAACTGTAACAATTATTTAAAAAAAAACATAATTTAATAAGGTTTTCCCTATTACTGTCACTAAAGTTGGATTAGCCATATAAGCTATTAGTAGCTTTATCTGTAAAATGGTCACTTTCTATAGAAGTATTTTTGTACTTTAGGTTAGAAGAGGAGCGTCGTAAGCGCGGCTACGAGGGCAGTGCGGCATACCGCAAGCCGGCCGCCAGTCCGCCGCCAGAGCCCGCATACGACCGCGAGCGTGATCAACGGCACAAGCGACCCCCACCACCCCCCATGGTAACCTACACGACATTGTTATGGACCTAGTGATTAACATATAACTAAACTTCTAGATTACATTTACAATAGTTACTAAGATTTATCGGTGTTACTAAACTTTATAGAAGTTACTATGTAATGATTGAAAATTTAATAATATATATTTTAATTGGAACTGAATATTATAATAATTTAATCTATTAATTGATAACAAATTACTGAAATGTATGACGTAAATTTGATTTGAAATTATATGTAAATTGACATGGTCCATAACAATAGTTGACATACTTTGATAAAGTGACAATAACTTGGACATTCTTCATTTTGTATCTTCACACGACTATCAGTAAGAATCCATTTCATTCCATTCAACCAATCATGAACATTTATATAAATATTGAAACATCATCTTTCTATTTCGTAATATTTAGAAATTAACACAGTGATATTTAATCATTAAATTTGGGATTAAAGTTGTATTTACGATAAATAATAAAATTCATTAAAACTTTCCTATTTTCAAAATATAATAGTCTGTCACTTTATTAGATGTCATGTCATTCAATTCATTATCTGTATAAAAGCTGACATTTGTCATTTTTCCCGCGCAGAACAACATCCCTCGCTCCAATAAACCTAAGCATGTAAGCATCAGTTCGGAAAGTCAAATTACCATTTAATAAGTACACTTAAAATTGGCAAGTATACTCTTTATTTTATTTTAAAACAAGCTTTTGGTTTGAATACTTTTTTAACAATTTTTTTTCTTATATTGCCAGTAAATGTTTTAAATAATAAAAACACATTGCTTAGGTCAACTGTCAAATGATAAGTGAAATTACAGCAAATGGCAATAAAAGAAACATTCTTACTAAATTTCGTTTAGTTTTCTTTAAAATTATTATACTTACCACATTTCAGAGTTGTTTAATGACCACTAAGAGAGTATTGAGGCTTTTTAAATATTTTGGCGGCTCGGAACATTGTATAAGTCGAATCGAACGCGCCAGAGCCACCAAAAAGATTAAAACCGCCTATACCTTAGCATAACACAATGTTCACAGGGTATTAAACTATTCTGATATAAGTAAATAGAATATTAGGGGTTATTTGTACATTTATGGTGTAATGTACGTGAGAATGCATTGTGTTGGTTCGACAGTTCGAGGCGCCACCACCCCCGCGCTTTGAGCTTGCACCGGCGTACGAGCGTGGTGCGGACAAACGAGACCGCGACCGTGATTACAAGCGTGACTACCCCCGGCATGTCTCATGTGAGTATAGAATAACAATAACTAGAGGATATCTATTGCACTCCTCTAGGTTAATGCTTGCTAAGGATTGACCTTAGTGTAGATAAAGTATGAACAGTAGGTATAGAACTTTTCAGATATCTTGGCGGCGCTTAATTTCGCGTGAGGCTCTATAGAACACAATTTGAGGTTCAACGGGATGGATGACTGGACCACCAAGATTTTTTAAAATACTTATAATAATTACTGTATCTGTTCTAAACAAAATATGTACTAATAAATTATATGTTTATGTATTTATTTTCTCCAACAGCCAGTAATATGAAGTACCCGAGTAATGGCAGCACTAGTGATGATACAAGGCAGCCGATGCCACCCGGTACCAGACCCAAAGAGCCAAAGTGAGCTTTTTCTTAAAAATTATCCAACATTTTTAGCACCTATTGAATTCTTTTCTAATATATAAACATGTGTACTTTTTATATAATATTGCTATATTGAATTTTAGCCGGTCGTACGAGTCGCGAGACAGCCGGTCGTACCGACCGTCGCCGCCCGGCAAACCCGAGCCGCGGAACTGGAGCGCTTCCAGCCGCTACCCAGATACCGCACCACCCGCTAAAGGTACATAATATGTCATTGCAATGTCTACAAATTCTGAATCTCAATGGTAATAATCAAAATGATTATAAAATATTATACTTCCTGAACAAACTTGCATTTGTAGATATAGTTTTTACTTGACTCGGTTTCATTATTTTGTCTACTATAGTATGTTTTTAAAGTCCATATATGGTTCGACAAATAAAAAGATTCTATAAAGTTTGTTAATATCTCATAAAAGAAATGTCAATGTTATATTGATAAGATAAAAGCTGATTGTTTATAATATTTGCAAATGTCCTAGTTTTTGTTTAAATCTTATTTTGAGAGTTAAAAAGATAAGATAATCTAAATATTGTTTTCCATATTTCATGATGAGAAAGCATTTAATTTAGTGTTAAGAAAATTTGATAGCTAAAAAAACAGCTTATTTACAGTACTTGTATGTTTTAATGTTTTGTAAATAGTATTTTATGAACATAATATTTATGATGTTATTTTTGTCTAGACTGTTGCCATGACATGACAAAATATGACAATTTTGTGAAGTTTTAGGCTTGAAATTTAGTACAAAGAATTGCCTAAACATATGAGTGCCAAATAATTCCATCTTATGACAAAACACACTCAAATTGGTTGACTAACTTTTATGTTTATGATTAGAACAATAGAGAGTTAAGGTTATTGCATATTTTAGGCAGTAGCAGCGGTGGATCGAGCGAGCAATGGTCTAGCGAGGCGAGGTACGGGGGAGCTTACGAAGCACGTTACCCCGCCAGTTACCAGCCGCCGCCGCCCGGAGCCACATACCCTGACCGGTACGCGCCCGCAGCTCGAGACTTCGCCCGCAAATACTAGCATCACGCACTCACCCAACATACAGGTTAGTACTTCACACAATAACCATGTTTACTCAAATTTTAATACGAAATTATATCAAACCTATTAAAATGATTAACTTATTTAATCATGTAGTTATTAAAAACATACTGGTTTCTATTAATAAAACAATTTTTCTCAGTGTTTTAATTATGTATAATATGATTTATCATGTCCATTGATGATATCATATTCAGGAGAATTTTTAGGGCCTAGGGCTGTTAGCACCATAAAAGAGCTATTGCTTTAATCGAAAAACTATGAAGGTACTGTAATATGAAGTTATCATTCAATTGTACATGTGTTCAGCCCTGGAGATCAGTCAGTCAATCGGTTTTGTTTTATTAAATAGGTGTTTATACAGTTAGGCTTCATAGACGTATTGAATGTCGAATGGAGGCGAGGCTATCTTGTATTATAAGAACAAATTTCGTGCATTTGATAAATTCACTGTAATTGTAAAGGTTTGATGGTAACTCCATTGTTACAGGTCACACATCATTGTAAAAGTGATGGAGTTTGGAGACAGAGATGCATGGAGAAGAACTATGAGAATGCCGGGACCTGTAAACTATTATTAGTTTAAATATTCCATTTTATTTTAACCTTTTTATTCATATATTATGACAAAAATACTTTTTTTCCAAAAATTGTTCCTGATTGTTTAGATGTATGCATTTTTTTTTCGAAATAATAGGACTCGATTGGAAGAAATGTATAAATAGAGAGATTTGTTTACCATTAAAATTATGGTACATGTGAATGTTCACAAGTTTAAATTCTTATATTTGTAATGTGTTAAGTTTTTAGCATAGTGAATACAAGTTAAGTGACAAAAAAATGGATCTTGTAAAATATAGCATTTTTTATATTATAATATTGGCAAAGAATAAACGTAATTTGAAGTAATACTTATTTTATTACGAAAAAAACAACACAGATAATTTATAATAGTTATTGTTAGTGTTTATTTTATGATAGTTTTGATCATATGTTGAACAAGTACATACATTCAAAATTGAAATAATCGTTTTATATTCTATGACATTCAAACTAAAGATCATTGTGGATAACATGCTTTGTTCAAATGTTAATTATTAAATCAAAATTTACGGTTTTACTAGATGTAAAACAGTATGTCCATAAATCATATATGCACATAAAACCAAAAATATAAGTCAAATTTAGCATAGAATTTAAAAACTATATAGCCTTATGATGAAATTTAATTCCATTCTAAAAAATGACACTAACACTAGAAAATGTGAAGATGGAAATTATTTAAAAAAAAGAATATTCACTTAATGAAATTTACATATTCGAAGTCAGGACTTTTTGTCAACTGTGTTTACCACTATTTCAGTTGAGCTAAAGATAGAGAAAAAGATCTAGTAACTATAAAATAAATCTGTTTTACAGATTAAGATTTTAAGTATTTGAAATATGAAGCAATAACAAAAAAAAATGTTAGTTTACATATTTTGTATTCCTAAAAACCAATATTATAAATGCGAAACCAACACCTATACTAACTAATCAACTTAGCAAATTAACACATTATAATTACGACTAGGGTTTTCTACGAAAAGCACTGAATGTGTTGGTACTAAATTCTCATTGGGAGGATATAAATCTTCCCATTTATCAGTGTAAGGTTCGGGAGTGTCATTGAGACCGTTTAAGGCTTTAATAGCATCTTGCTGGCCCTGAACGGCGGCCAGACGCAGCAGTCGTTTTGCAGTAGCTGTGTCCCTTGTTAAACCACCTCGACCTTGACCATAGTAGATCCCAAGATTGTACAATGCACCGGGATGCTGCTGTGTAGCTGCCATGCGATACAACTCCATTGCCTGAAAGAAACAATTCATTAATCAAGATACTTAGGAGATATATTTATCATAACCTACAAAACCGTTACATCGCTTGTAGACTAATTAATGGATCATACAAATTTTATTTAGTGCTAAATTTTATTTGAAAGATTTGTGACAGGTGTAATCCATTAAAGGTATGTAACTCACCATTTTCTCATCAATGGCTACACCCATGCCTATCTCATAGCATAAGCCCAGATTGAACAGAGCAGGTGCATGATTGCGGTTCGCTGCAGATCTGAAATACAAAAACAATATTTCACAATATTAATAAAAAGGTGCGTAAAAAAATTTACGTAACACAAATATTGTTATTGTGGCTTAAAATTGGCGCCATATATCTATTCTATGTTATTTACCTTAGCAAATTTAAACCATCTTGATGTTGTCCATTTTCAATGGCGGCCAAACCCAGTCTGTTCTCTATTGAGTTCAATACCTCTCCAAGTTCATCATCAGAGCTTGTTGAACTGTTGCTAGCACTGGTTGATGCTTTCTCATCTGTTTTGTTCTCATTTGATAACAAATGTACATGTATTGGTACACTTGCTATTGCTTTCTCAATTTTTCTACTTGAATTCAATCCAACTGCACTCTTACTGATGCAATCAATATAAGGGTGAAGTGATGACAGCAAACAGTTGACCGGATAACAATCCTTTTTATCATCTCTGCATTTGTACTTGAGTTTGAGATGGATAAGTTGGCTAGTGTACCAACCAACAACCAAAGCACTACTCTGTAAAAAAATAAAAATCCTGAATCCAATATCATTGAAATTATATTTGTGTAATAATATCCTTATGGTTTCGTAATAATAAGAGTTTTTTTAAAACGTGTCGCATTAAAGTTATAATCTACCACAATATATAAGTATTGTCTCAATATAGCCATAAGTAATATTTACCCATGTTATGGCACCTATCCAAGTGCGATTTAGATCATCAAAGTTCCATTTTTTGCTTTTAGTATCGTTATCGTTACAAAATGATTTCCAACATTTGCGTGGATTTTGCCAGCAAGACGGTGCTCCTATGCGTTTGTTCTGCTCCTCTGAAAGGGTGCTACCAGCTGAATTTACGACTCCTGTAGAACTACGTTTATCAAAATGGTTTACACTCTTCTCTAAAGCATCTCGGATGCGTCGAGTCACATACTTCCACATGGTTTCAATAGAAAATAAACATCACCCAATAATAAAGTTAGAAGGACATTGTTGAAGTACCATAAGGGGTCTTAACGAATTTCGGTAGACATTGTTTTGTAAGACTCGTCTGCCTTCATCCAACCAACCAAACCAATTTTATTCAGTCTTATCAGTTCATTCACAATCACAAATTTACAACTCTATAAACTGACCCACAAGATACACTTTGACTTTACCATAAAAAAGTGACTTAAAAATGTAGACTAAATACGGAGATAGATAATATAGAATAATATTTTTTGATTTCCAGAAAATACTAAGTACTAATATTGCAAAAAAATAATAAGCCAAAAAAAACTGCGAATTCAAAACTGATTCACATTTAATAAAATTTGATGAGTTCGCAGTCGCACTATCTCGCAGTTGTATGACAAAAATGTCAATGTCAAGCTTTGCAAGAAAGTCTGCAATGCAGCGTTGACAGTGATAAGTTCAACTTGTATAGTGCACTGGCAAATTGCCCGGGAAAACATACATTTTAAATTAATGTATTTTTTTATCTTCAACATTCAAAATGTGTGGCCGCACTGGACTGTGTGTATATTTAATTAGAATAGTAATGGTCTTGTACTGCTAATAGTAACTACACAATTTTTTTTAGATCACTAAATAAAGAACAACTACGTTGTGTCTGTAGTTATAAAAATAAGAAAAAGGATTCTTTTGATAAACCAGAATGGCTACACGAGCATAATGACGGCAAAGAATATGAACCTTCTTATAATATTGCACCAACTGATGTTACACCTGTTTTAGTATCTTCTAGTAATTATAAAAACATTGCTGGCAGTCGGATTTTAAAGCCTATGATGTGGGGGATAATACCTCCTTGGCATAAGGTACAATCATTTTGTACTTAATTATAAACATATTTAATTTTTTTTTATATATTACCAAGTACTAAAAGTACAAATAATGTAGGTATATCAGGTCATAAAACTGGTGGATGGTCACTTTCATTTTCGCCATAATTATGGATTTATTTAAGAACCAAGGAAAACATACTCAAAATTCTATATCACCTTTTGTGTTTAAGGGTAATTATCGCACAAATAATTTAAGTACAAATAATTGTCGAATAGAGAACATAAAAACATCAAAACTTTACAATCCAATATTATTAAATGGAGGTAGATGTATAATAGTGGTAGAGGGCTACTATGAATGGCAAACCACTGTTAAAAATAAAGTTAAGCAACCTTTTTACATATATGCTCCGCAAGAAGAACACATAAAGGTAAGATATTTACAACTACCTACAAAAATTATACAATACTGTTAATAGTTATAGGACATGTTAAATATATTAATACTATTAAAAAAAGAAATGTGATTAAAAATATTTTAATAAAAACAGTTTACATGTTTGAGAATGTTTGTTTATCTATTGTCAGCATAATACTTCTAGTGAACATTGAACCCTCAGCTAAAAAATTACAAGTAAAATTATTGTGTAGTTTCAATTTTTTAAGGCAACATCTAAAGATTCCACATTCAAATGTGGAATAATATTTTGTAACTTTCCACTGATTGTTTACATTTTGCTCCCAAATATTTCACAGTTAATTATATTCTAGAAACAATTTGTTTTAAACAATTAAATATTAAATTATATTAATTTAGTAGTTCTCCTCTGAAATTTGTTTCTTGTAATCCCAGATTGACGACTCTAGCACATGGCAAAACAATTATGATAAAAAAAGTGGATGGAAAGGCGTAAAACTTTTATATATAGCTGGGCTATATAATATTTGGCAAGACAATGATGTCATTATTTATTCATACAGTATTATTACTATGGATTCCAGTAGTACATTAGAATGGTTACATCACAGAATGCCCGCCATTTTGGAAACGGAATTACAAAAAGAGGTATCAATATTTTATTTATCTTATAAATTCACTAGTTTTTGTTCACACTGTATTTCAAATAAGCACCTCTTTGCTTGTCATAGGAATAAAGAATTTCAACAAAGTGCCTTATAAAATCACTGGTCTTTGTAATACACAGATAAACAACAACAAACAAGTGTAACAAACAAGGTACCAATTAGGCAAATAACTTGGTACAGTCTGCATAAATAATTATTTACAAACTTTCAGAAACTTGTATACACCTTCAGTTTCAATAATATGTATGTATCAGTCCTGCTTCCGAACATAACTACATGTGTTAAGGGAAAATTGTGTACATTTTTTTCCATCATAGTCCTATACAAGTGTCTAAAATTTTGTAAATGTACACATATTTATGCATCTGACTGTACTTTTCACCATAAGAATTCAACTGTCCCCTTATGTATATATACCACAATAAGACAGACATGATAGGCAATATGTCAGTATTTTTCAGACTTTTTAATGACACAACTAAAAACTAAATAAAATTATTTTACTACTAACTGCATGAGGAAATATTGGTAAAGAAAACCTTACTGATTAGTTCAATCTTGTCACCTCCTAGGCGCAGTTCTGGTTGGTAACAGAAACCAACTTTTATAAGGCCAAATGCAGTGTGCATCAGTATGTTATTACATGGAAAAATAATCATTTATCAGATATAAATTATACTTAATAATAGAAGCCTGCTCCAGCATTGTATTACAATCAAATTTTATATAATCACCTTGAAAATTGTATGAATTTCAACACATACATTATTTTAATGCTTATTTTTAATTGTCATGGAAAGGAACACTTCCTAGTATATAATATTCCTAAGATCTTAACTTTCAGTTAATTAAAGATACATTATATCAATTTTGTAGAAAAAAAAATTAAAACACTTTTTATGGAACTATAATTGACCATCTTCAATACCATTCGGACGGTTTTTTTTTATTTTGAGCAATAATACTGTTTAAAAATCTTTTCACAGGCATGGTTAGACATTGAAAATGTCAACCCAGATATGGCTCTATCATATTTAAAACCAACTGTACTACTGTCATGGCATCAAGTTTCTACAGCAGTTAATAATTCACGGTACAAATCAAATGATTGTAACAAAAGAATATCAAAGGAAAACAAAAAATGTGCTCAATCAACTATCACATCTTGGTTTACGAAGGTAGATAAAAGAAAAAGCAATGATAAAGATAATATCCCAAATAAGAAAAATAAGTAAACAAAAAAAATTGGATTCAATTAATTAAATCATTAGTCTATGTCTGTTTTTTTTAATCTTTGTGTCATTTGTCAGCTTAATTGTGGGTTTCTAAGAACAAAATCTCGGTTTAAAACAAATTGTTATTTATGTTTTATCAAGATGTATGGCATGGATGACAATATATTTTATACAGATTTTGGTGTCAGAAACCCACAGTAAATAATGTCATAGTGTGTAATTCATTTTATGGATATTAAATTTAAATAATGGAAAAAGATTGTTACTTTGGAATCCTGTAACTTAACATTGACAGTATTCCTCAAAAAAATACAGTTAAACATGTGTTTCGACCCTTTGACAAATATGTATATAAGGGTATATAATAATTATCACCAAATAAAAAATCACTTCTTGTAATGCCTAATATCAGCATGAGAAAAAAAGGGTTCACATATCAAGCACTGTTTAAATCTTTTATTGTTAGACCCTGAGATTTTTATTTGGTAGTGTTCAAGAATTATTAACTGAAATAAAGTAACATTTTAAAGATTATATATTTTTAAATTCACTTACCACATTGGTAAAAAGTGATAAAATATAATTAATTTCAACAATGATTTCTTTATAATGAAAAAAATTTCTTCCGTCAAATATTGTTAATTCTGAATTGTTTGAAGTCAGCTTCACATCTTATTAGTTTGTGGCTGTCAAGAAAATCATTTACAAAACTTTTTACTTCATATTCATCTGCAATAGAAAAATGCAGTTTGTTAATACACATGTAACACAATATTTAGAATATATTAGTGAGATTTATTACTATTAATAACATATCATCATCCTTATATAAAAAGGCTAAAACACTCATATGTGCTTGTCCGGAGGCGGCACCGTTCGATTCGTTTCGAGCCCATCGGATCTTCATAAGAGTGAGTGAGCGACGGCACGCGTCCGCGAAATAATACATGTCCCAGTACTCGAAACTAGTTGGTGCTGCCACCGGACGAACAAATGTGAGTGTTTTAGCCATTTTTATATAAGTTTATTATAAAGTCTCACGAACATTTGAATAATTTAATATTATCATCCCTTTTACCACCTTTGAAAAAAAAATGGTCCTACAAATATTTACATGGTAAAAATCTATCTTTATGGAAGGTACTTACTTGGATATTTACTACACTGGTAAATAAGCCTAATCAAATGTTTAGCAAGTGACTTAAATAAAGCTTTTCCTTTTATCCGTCCTTTGATATAAAATGGAGTGAGTACTCTAACTACCCATGGAGCTATTCTCTCTTTACAACTCCTCACAAACTCTGGTGTCTCTTCCAATGGTGACATAACCCCTTCATCATCACTGTCCTCTCCAAATATATCTTTTAATAAATCTTTTACCTGAAATTATATAAGATTAAATTAACATTTATGGCTATAATACATATACTGCATATAGATTAACACATTCACTGCCACTGACTTGCCTAACATGTTCACTTTAATTTGGAAAAATAGTAATGTCAAGGAAAGTGTTAAAATTTTGTAAAAATTATCTTATTTACCCTAGCAAGCTTTGCCCTATTACAATCTCTCAATTGATCCAATATTTCATATAATTGTAACTTCATAAAATATTCTTCACACAACCATTTATTGGATGTTTGATTTGCTTTTTTACTGGCCAGTTTTGTACTATTGTCATTCTCAACAAAATGTCCAGCTAAAGATGCCAATTTGTCATCTAAAGATTGGTTAATATTTACAGTTGGTAAATTATTACTCTCTACCATGTTTTCTGTTTCATTATTATCTTTTTTATTGTCTTTGGGTTCTTCATTAGTAGGATTTGGATCATTCCATAATGATTGTTCAAAAAGATCATCATCATTATGGTCATCTTGGAACAATATCTCTAGTTGCCGTAGCAAATTATCAGAGTCTTGTGTTTCTACATTATGTGTATGAAAAGGTGTTTCTGAGGGTAAATTTTTCATTGTCATATCACTGTTAACTTCTGTTTCCTTTGTTAATGTATGTTCTAGACTATTGTTACTAGTATCTAATAGTTTTTCACTAGGTGTAGATGCGACATTATCAGATATGAATTGATTTTGAATATTGTTTTCTCTACGCCTCTTTCTCTTTTGGTTGCATGTACATTGACATGTACAATTATTAGTCTTATTTAATGTAGTTTGAACTCTTTTTTCATTGTTTGGAGTTGTATTTAAAAAATCATACAATGTCTTGTACAGTTTACCCTTGCTTGTGTCCTGTTTTAATTCATTGATCTGAAATTTTTTAATCATTCAGGTTTTCACTTCAAATGTTAAAAAAAGCAAAGGTAATAAATCAATACATACCACGCCCACAATATTTTTCCGATATATTTGTACTACCATGCAAGTTTGAGCGGCAGTCATTTCTATAATTTTCGCACACCTCCATATTGCGCTTGGTAAGCGAATATTTTTGTTGAATTGCTTTTGATGTTTTTCGTAGTTCACCGACAAAAGTTTTATTATATATTCCATATAGTGCTTACGTACCTGAAATCATACTTTTCAATGAAAGCTAAAAGAAGGATTTAAAGAGTAGAATAATATATAAATAGATACATACTTTAGATATAAGTAAATGCGGCTCGTTTTCTATATCAGGTATTGACATTATCGTTTTGTCGTATTCTAATATCATTTGGTCTACGAAATCATCAGAATTTTGTGCTTCGGTTTCTAGTAATTGACTCATCTTGTTTAAAATTATATGTAATACAAATTAAATAATTTTAGCGCCTCCACCTTATTAAAATTTTGTTTTGACAGCCTGTAACTAGTATTGCCAGTAGGGGCTTTGGTAAACTTTAAATAACTCAGGGAACTATAGAATATACTTAGCGATCTTATCCTTTTATTTAAATACTCATGGTAAATGAATTACGATAAAATTTCTCTGTCTGTTCACATTGGTTATTTAAGAAATAAATTCTGATTTTCTACAAAAGGATGGCAGTATGCTTAAAACTTTTTCTATTTAAAAAAACATAGTCAACACCACATATGTCAATGTCGAGCAAGTTTGATTCGGATTAACACGAAATTTTGTATTTAATTTTACTTAACTTTTACTTTATTCGCCAAATTAAGAAAAATAACTGAGAATTCATGAAAAATAGTCCAATATAAAACTTTTAGACGACATGGCTACTGAAGAGCACAAAGAATTGGCTTACTATATAAAGGAAGTTCACGCTTCTTTGAGGAAGTCTTCTTCAAAAATAGGATTTCGTAGAGCATGGCTTGAACATAGTAAAAATGAAGATATTTTAAAAAAGTATGCAAAATGCATGGAACGATTAGCAACTGTACATTGGGATAGCAATTGTTTGGACAAATCTAATGCTGTTGTGTCTCGAATACAATGGTCTGCTGATTTTAGCTATAATTATTACATCAATGACCACTACTTAAAGTTTCGTGATAGAGATATAGACATATCAAATAAAATTAATATTAGTATTGATTCTCTAGAACAATTTTCCTTACCTTTAAAATTACTTGATGTAGGTAGCTGTTATAATCCTTTTAAAATGTATACATTCTTGGATGTTCTGCCAATTGATCTGTGCCCAGCAAATAATTCTGTCTATCAATTTGATTTTCTAAATGTTGATATAGGCGAAGAGATGGTTATTGAAAGCCAAAGTATAAAAGAATTGGAACAAAACTCTTTTGACATAGTAACATTCTGCTTCTTGCTTGAATACATTCCTAATTCAGAATTAAGAATAGAGGCATGTGTGAGAGCTTACAATCTTCTAAAACCTGGAGGAATATTGATAATAAATACACCAGATTCAAAACATGTTGGAGCTAATTCTAAATTGATGAAGTGTTGGAGATATACTTTAGCATGTTTAGGTTTTTCAAGAATTAAATATGAGAAGTTTAAACATATGCATTGTTTAGTTTTTAGGAAGTCTTTACATAAAGACATAGCTATAAGATGGAGTACATTATGTAAAGAGTCTAATATGGAGTATGGTTTATTTATTCCGCAAGATTTTCTAAGTGACAAGGAAGAGGATGATCATACAAACATTGATAAGGCATCAAATATATGTAATAATGACAGTGCAACAATTACTGAACACTTTGAAGAACTACCATTTAGTTATGACGAATAAATATTTTTTATATATTTAGCATTTTTATTTCATTTTAATATTGTGTTTTGATGCAAAAGCAAATATTCTAATGGTAAGAGTATGGACCATTGGTCATGAGGTTGAGGGTTTGTATTAACTAATTTTTTTAGCTTATTGTCATGCTACAGGGAATAGGATTTTTGGTCACTTATCTATTGCAATATTATACCTAATCTAAACATAAATCAGTCTTTCCCAAAGTGGGTGATAACAACCTCTTGTGGGCGCTGCAGGTCTCAAGTTGCAGGTTATAGTAAACATTTAGTTTAGAATTCTCCGTTAATCTACAAATATAGGTCACAATAATTAATTAATTTAATTGGAAGTTATAGTGGTTTTTAAATATGTGAAAATATGGGAAATATTTATTCTCAAAGTGGGCAGTAGATGTAAACATTAAAGAATGAAGATCATTATTTGCCAAAGATAACACTTTATTATGTTAGTTACTTACAATATTTTACACAGATATTATCCAGGAATTTGATAATTTAAGTTTTATGGATTAGTAACAGTACTGTTTATGTTATCACTTCTTGTTTATGTTTTCACAAGGTGTCTTAGTATTTATGTCTTAATTATTTCTAATTTATTAATTAAGACTTAAGTATTATAGAATGAAATGTGATAAATTACCACTTTATTAATTTACTATTGTTATTGCTAAAATTAGAAATATTATTTCACCTTATATTTATTAATTCATAATGAAAGTAACTTATAATTTTAGTCATTTTGCCACATTGAATTTTGCTTTGCGTTTTTCTAACCTCTCTTTATTTTCAATGTCTGTCATAATGGAAGATACAGACTGTCCAAATCTTTCAGCTCTTTGCTTTAGTTTCTCTATATTGTCTTTTAATGAGCCTGGAGTTGTTGAGCTGATATTATTTTGTGCTGAAGTCTGGAACCTCTGTTTTCTGGCTTCTTTCCGCTCAGCCTCTGTCACTTTAACAGGTAGGCCAAATCTTCTGGCTCTCATCTCCAATCTAGTCTTGGGATCTATGTCTGTAACTAATTTGACTTTGCCAACGTTGGATGGCGGCGTTTCCTCGGATTTTGTCTCTACATTTTCCTCGGTTTGTTTTGGTGTAATAGATATAGCTCTATTCAATACAATTTTTTTTGTACCAGTTTCCTTTGTATCTTGTGATTTTTCTTTGGCCGGTTCTGTAGGTGGGGCGGTTATTTTCCTTTTTAATGTCCTCTGAGGTTTTGACTCATTTGTCGTTTTCTCAGGATGTTCCTCAAGTGCCAATTCCTCGTTCAGTGTATCCACGGCGGAATCATCTAAAATGTCTGTTTGGCTTTTATCGTCCTCATCTTCAAGAACTCCGTCAGAATCTATTTCGTCTGAATCTAAGTTGATATCACCGTGGTCATCTTGCGCTATAGCCGCTTGCAGCCTAGCCACAAGCTCCGCTTTGTCGCCGACATAAGACAGTCCACGTGATTTTAACTCTTTTCTTAATTCAACCACTTTCAACTTGCTTACATCAGTTACCGTCGAGTCAGCCATTGTTTTTTTTTGTATTTCTTCAAAAGCACTTTATTTCCTGGGTAAATTTGTTTACAGAGGTTTTCGCAAACACATTGACATAAAGACAACGACAAACGAGTGACATTGACAATTAAAGATTTTTTTAATTTTATGACCTGGTAACATAGACCTTTAGGTCATATCTTATTTGGAAAATGTTCATTAGTTTGGAACAATCAAAGATTATAGAGAATCAGACAAAGAGCAAACGTGTCAAAGTTTAAATAAATTTAACAAAAAATTAAATTGATACCAAACAAAAAGATTTTAGGTAAATTTAACTTTTGTCTTATAAACTATATTTTCAAAATACATTCAATTGCTTGTAATCCAAACATGAAACATATTATTATCTCTGTTTTACTAACAGAATGTTCTTCCTCAAGTGGTTTAGTCTCCGTAGCTTTAATACTCAGATACAGCAAAAGTTATAAAATTTTTGGTCCTTGTCTCCCCTACGCAATCGGTATGCAGACAGTCACAAAATTTATGAATTAATTTCCAATGATCTGTACCTTAACAAATACTGACCATTCCTTGGTTATACTTACCTATTGAATTCTTCAGCGCCAAGAGTGACAGTTTTATTTAATTATTATATTTTACATAACTTTATAAATTTTCGAAAACTTCCTCGGATAAAAACATTTGGGAAAGGAAGTTGGGGGATTTAAAAGTAATACTGTGATAAAACTTTTATTATAAAGCTTTTAGTAAAAGCTTAGGTACATATAATTTATTGCTTCTTAAGATTACACTTTTCTTATAAGTACTTAACATAATTTGCATTATGAATACAGAGCCGTCGTTTTTTGATATTTCAGAACAGAGTATACAAATGAAATAAAAATTGTACACTTTAAATTTAAACCATAAGTAAAAGCTAAAGGAACACCAAAAGACAAGAAATAAAAAAACGTTCAAATATTATAGAATTTAATTAGGGTACATACAAACATTTTGTAATGCTGGAGTATAATTACCATACTAAGAAGCACTTCCGTTGAGTAGCTAGTGACAATTTGAGTGTAAGTTAATTCTTCATTATTTCAAACAATGAAATTTTAAAGGAGTGACTTTAATGATAAGGCATTACATCAAACACTTTATACATATGCATTATCTATAAATTATTGTACACATTTAACTTAATTTACAATATTAAATATTTTAAACTAAATCGCTAATGCATAAAACATTTTGAAAATTAATCGTGAAATATAAATTAAAAGTAACACCTCCGGCATATAACAAACCAAAAATTATGTGTATTTATTCGATGACCTTTTTGACCTTATGTAAGTCAATAAAAACATTCCATATCTATTTATTTTTCTATATTAAAGGAAAATCACACTGATATTTCGAAAGCCAACAAAACAAACATAAGCATCCACTAATAAGTGTTAGCAAAAAACAATGAAAGTCCAGTTAGTGATGTATCACCAGTCTGACCCCCGACTGTCGCTAGCAGCGCCGCGTGCGCAGGCCGTGACGTCATCACATGCCCACAATCCCTTCTTTTACATCTTGTCAACATCATGTCACAGTATACTGCACTCGAGTCATTTTAATACTGTGTCACATCTGACAGTTTTGGATAATCTATTTGTGATTCGATGAATTTTAATAAAAGCCAAACAGTGTGAAACATGTTGAATACCTCCATGTTATATGATAATGCTACGTAACAATTTATCGGCATCTGACTTCCTTTCTGACTCACATTAGGCACCGCAAACACTGCTCGCATCGGACCGCATCGACTACGGTGAAGTACACAAACAATTTAACTTCGAATGAAATATTCAGCAATATATCTAAATACTTTAATACCTACAATTTTGTTGCCGAATTTTTCTTCGTAGTCGGCGTACGGCGTGATACGATACAGATTATATCGATCAGTTCTCGCCCGCGGGAACACTTCGAGACCTTTTTGCGACCCGCACACACTCTATATGACATTACAGTGTACCATAGTACGGGCTTGTCGAGTTTCACTGCCAACGATTATAATACACTTCGGTAAATATCCACGTAATGAGCACCAAGCGACCAAGACATTGTAATTCGTAGTAGGGGCACGATGGATAAGGTACACTGCTGACTATAGTTGTCCCAAAGTTGCTTGGCAAGTCACACACGAAATAAAAACTTTTATAAAACGCCTTCCATTTAAAAATTTACGACCAAAATTTCAAAATAGAAAGAGAACATCAATAATGTTTGTTTTAAATATTAACATCTAAGCAATGCTTTCTAACATCCTTTATATTAGTATATTATCGTAAAACGCAAAATTTAAATACATTACAAACGAATTATCGATTTTTTCTAAAATTATTCTTTGTTTTTAATTTAATTTTACTATTTTTAAGTATTTTTTTTAAAACAGTACCAAGAATCGTCAATCCCAATAATATTTATGTTGGCATATAATTTTTGACGTAATTTGTTAAAATCATGCCAACATTTGATGAAAAATAAAGACTATGAAGTATGTTACAAGCGCACATCTGCACAAGTGCAGTAAAAATCGCGCTTAACTTCACATGTGTTCAGCGTTACAAATTACATAAATTTAACGTTTAGTTGTGAAAATTAAACACGCAACGCCAATACTTCGCGTATTTATATGTGATAAAAATAAAGCGATCGCGATGTTATCGTGGTAAAGGCAATGTGGCAACCCTATTCAATAGTTCGTGGTAGAGCTATTAACTGTGCCCCTATTGTGGGTAGTTCCTGATCCCTGTGTACCGTGGTGTAGTACTGCGGTACTGCGGTAGTGCGGTACTGCGGTAGTGGTGTCAGTCACACGGTGCGCGACGGGTCTAGCTGGGCTGGCGGGGCCGCGGGGCGCGGGGCGGGCGGGGGCTCGCCGCGCGGCGCTCCTACCTACCTTCAGGCAGTTGCCGCGCGCCGGGGTGCGCACGCGCAGCCGCCTCCTTGGAACATACAAATTAACGTCAATATACAGTATTGAAAATGACAGCACGTGCTGACATGTGATTAGAAACCTTAGATAAAAAAACTAAAAAAATATGTGGTAGAATATCAATTTATGACGTTATTATTATATTACAATTGTGCGGTGCGTGACGTCTGTCAGCGTATGGTCTTTCGACAAGTGACATGCTTGGCCTTGAGACAGCGCTAGTGCTAGTGTGCGCGCTGGTTAAATGAAGCAGTATAGGATAATAATATCGATCATTAAAATAATAAATCCTCGGAATCCGCGACATATCCGTATTTACTACTGGAAAAAGACAAAATCTATAGTTAGTTTCTTAAACCTCAACTAAGAAACTCCTTCAGTAAGTAAAACACTAGTCTAAGTGCTGCTACCAAGACAATGTAGGGTGTCACCTTGGTGCGAGGCTGAGGCTTGGTGCGCGGCGGCGGCTGCGCGGGCTGCGCGAGCTGAGTGGGCTGGGCGGGGGGCGCGGGTTGAGAGGGGGGTGCGGGCGGCACGGGCTGCGCGGGGGGCGCGGGCTGTGCAGGCGGAGGCGCGGGGGGCGCGCGCCCCAGAGACGCCAGCATCAGCCCGCGGAGCAGCGCCGCACGAGATTCCGCTTCTTCGTTGCTCGCAGAGCTTGTCGCATCTGGAATACCATATAAACGCACTCTTCAGGTTCAAGCATCAAATCACAGCCCTGAGTTGCTGCGTCTTTTAGCAGAAAAGATTAGACTAACAGATGTTGCAATGTGTCGTCTTCACCGACGAAATTGTCAATAACCCAGTATTAGATATTAGAGGTGATATTTACCTAGGAAGCCGGAGAGCAGGAAGGTGTACTCGGAGACGTCTGGCTGCGGCGGGGGCGCGGCAGGCTGGGCGGCAGGAGGGGGCGCGGCCGCGCTGCTGGAGGACGTCGCGGCTCGCCGCGGCAGTCGCTCCAGCTGCTGTCGAGCGGCCTACAATTATTCACATAGCATTACATTGCCCTACAACTAAATTGTATGTGGCAAGCAAATGAGCTGCTAGCCACTAGAAAACATAATCCTAAAAAACCAGGTGACAAGGTATATTTAGTATAGCTTATCCGTTTGCTTAGAACTTATTTGGGCTACCGGTTTGACATGATGTCTTAGGCTCACAGTGGTATGTATGAAGTCACCAGAGACAACACTGGCGTGGTGTAAATAGCTAACAAAGAGAGCTCACAGTAGCTTGCTGTCGCTCGAGCTGTAGCTGCATCTGCAGCTGCTGCAGCTGGCTGGGCGTGCCGGGCTGGCCAGCTCCGCGACGCACCCCCGACAGCTGTGAGAGCAGCTCAGCTATGGGGTCAACGACCGCGTCGCGCGACGACGGCGACAGAGACGATATGCCGCCGCCGGTGCTGCGAACAACGTGCCAATCGCTGTTTAACAAACAAACATACAAACATACCACATCACACTTTTTGCTACAGTGCAACACCATCATTGTCATATATCCTCTAAGATACTGAAAGGATTCTTTAAATTGAAAGTGATATAGTAAATATTAGATAATTATTTTAAAAGATATTATTAGTATACATATATTTTCATGAGTTTTCACTACCAAAGTACCTGTGCAAAAACATGACAATTTGTTATGCACGTGTTTAAGCGGTGCAAACTCGCAGTTAAACAGAGCAGATATTGGCTAACGATGACTACAAAGGATAGACAGAATAAAAAAATACTGTAATCTTGCAAGGCATCCACGTATTTCTTTTCACCCAAAAATAAATTCACTTGTGTTCATTCAATTTATCAGTTGTGGGTTCTCCATTTTTAAATCTACGGGATATATATGTAGATTTACCTGAACTGCATGTTCGTGCGCCTGGCGCGACTGACGCCGCGGCCGGATGCAGGCATGCGCCGCACGCCGCCATGCCGGATGCCGCTTGGTTCGTCGTGCAATGCAGTTAAGTTATTATTGTTATATTATATATGTATTCATATTATACATTCACTAATATACAATACTAGCTATCGCCCGCGACTCTGTCCGCGCAGAGTTAAAAAGTAACTTAATTAGTAGCCTTTGTGTTCTTCCAGGCTATATATAAAAATTCATGGAGAGTTTTGGACCCATCCATCCATTCATGTTAACATTCCCATTTATAATATTAGTAAGATGTATTTATATGATAAATTCACTAGAATACAATATTGACTCACAAAAGTATGCCAGAATTTGTCATGTGCAATATACTAATAATACTTTAAGGGCTTAATTAGTTCGAGAAACACATGCATATGTTTTTTTAACAAAGAGATGTTAATAATTAATAGGATACCATAATTATTAATTTTGTTACTTTATGTATGTTTTGAAAGGAAACATGATATGCATACATTTTAGGAATGTTCATTTAAAAAACTACAAAATGTTTCTATCATTGTCATTAATATGATAAAATAAAAATTTAAGCTACTTACTAAAAGCAAACCACAAATTTTATTAACACTGTTGTAAGGTTTTGAACTTAAATACAGCGAAACAAAACAATTAGGTATTTGTATGGCTTCATAAGTTAAATCTGTTATTGAGCTTATGCAATCATGTTCAATGTTCATGGAAATCCATCATACACAGTGTAATTATACTGTGTAGAAAAATATATAGATGTTAATGTAGTAAACTATTTAAATCAAACAACAGATGTTGTTTTATTTATAACTAGCAACACACGACTCTGTCAACGCGGAATTAAGAAAAAGTTAATTAAAATCTATGCCAAATTTCAGTGAGATCCATTCAGCCGTTTTAGAGATACCTCCAGATAAACCCCCATCCATCCATCAAAACACTCGCATTTATATTAATAAGATGTGACTGGTATAACTTATTAATATCATCATAAGACTTTTCCCATTTTCCCAGATAATTTATGAAATGAAACTTTAACATACAATAATAGAAGCATAAAATAAAATATTGACTGACTACTAAAGTAAAATCTATAAAAAAAGGATATAAGAAAAGAGATGAGATCTCTGGGTCCGGTCCGGTGTTCAAGTGTGAGATGTCCAGCAAAGTCGTCAGTCACAAAGTTTGGCTCGCCGCCCGACAGTGAGGCACAAACTGGGCAAACTACCTGAAATTTATAAATACCCTAATTATTACATCTTTTTTTACAACCATACATATTATGCAATTGTTCATTGGCATAACACATTAATAATGGGTTTGGGGTAAACCTACTGTTATCTATTTTGTGTGTGGCTGTTTAACTTTAGTGTGTTAGACTTAATTATAAAATAGATAAAATACATTATTAATTTTTTTATATCCCGTTTAAAACCATGAGCACACTTTAGGAGAAAAAGCCTGGTCCAGAGTATAAGAAAATAACAATCGAAAGTAAATAAGTCGAGCCATTAATTTTTTTCTAATCAATGTTCAATGAAAGTTTCTGTGCATGTTATTTCATCGCAATATGGAAGATATTTAATTAAATAAAAACCAAACACTTGTCTTCTAACAATATTCAGCATTGCCTTATTACATCCCAGTTTATTTACAGCCATGCAGCCAGTACGCATTTCTTATAAAAAAAGTACTCTAAGAACTCCTTTGTCTATAAACAATCCTTAAATGTGACAGAAATAGACATGAAAAATATAACACTTACAGCAAGAGTTGTATCTGCATGTTCGGCAGTCACATGTTCCATAAGCGCAGTATCTGTGAATCCCATTCGATTGCAGAATGGGCATGTGTACGCCTGTGGCTGTTCCAAAGCTTGTGACTCACCCGCATAGTATAGGTCTGTAAATGTAAACTGACAGTAAGTAACTTCTCTTTGTGCACATTATTTATTTCTTAATTCTTAAATATGACAATGACAGTTGATATATGGCATAATTAAATATATTTATTGTTAATAAAAACATGCAATTGAGAAAGCATTTACATATTCAATAATATCTCTTAGTATGAACTGGGGTTATTTATAACACATTTCATTTATTTTTTTAAGATATTTATCTCTATACTATATCTATAGAGATAAAAGTAAAAAAAATGAAAGTTATTATATTATTTTTGCAAATATACTAATTTAGTTCATCCATATAAAAAGGTCATCAATAAAATACATTTTTATTATATTTAAAATAATATGGATGAACTTTTGTTGAAAAGAACAGTTAAAAACTAGGTCAGGTCACTGATGACAGAATGTTGATTACACAAAGATCTCACCAAAATCACTTCTTGTTAGGATACATTGCATGGGATGCTCTGTTGTATGTTGATTCGTGACCGCGCCGGATTCATAACACACAGCGCACAAGTCGTAGTCGATGCAAATCAAACATTTATATCGTCGTCCTCTGAAGTTATTTTTTAAACAAGAATCACAGCTGACTCCTGAAAAGTCGTAATTTAATAAGTAGTAAATACTTATAATATTTAACCGTCAACCCTATGACAGTCAAATTCAAAACAAATAATTAATAACATTTCGAAATTATCGCAAAGAAATTTAGTGACAAAAGCATCTCACAAATTTTGATTATCATTACCCACCTTCATGGCGATTCATTTTCGCCACAAAACGTCGCCGAAACAAACGTTTCTTGGCACCAGAATTACTGCTGCTATTTGCGGTATTTATATTACTATACTAAAATAAGTAGCACAACATATAATATACTAAAATACAAGATTATTAACAAAAATTTCCAGCAAACCTAACCCAACCAGGCCATAATGACGTCACATAATGACTTTTGTGTTGCCTAATTTTAAACTTTCACAGATTATTTCTTATTTACATATTGATTTCGTACTTCATAATTTCACTTTTTACATCTTTCGAAAAATTATTTAATCGGGTGGTTTAAATGAAACGGTTGTTGGGTTAAAATTGAATATAACTAAAGAATTTTTATCTCGACATTTACTTTTCTTGGCAGTACATTGCTTTATATTCACTTTTATCTTGAATTTTAAAAACCAAACATTCAGTTTATTTATTAAGCTAAAAATAATTTAATTGTGCCTTTATAACTTCATAGAAATTGATTTGTTAGAGTTAAAAAAGCTTCCCAATTATAAGATTACAATCGTCATTTCCTTGGTAGATTGTTTGAAATTGAATTAAACAAAAACAAAAAAAAAGCAAGTTTTCCGAACGAAAAACAGATTAAATCAGACGTATAATTAATTTTGATTTTCCGTAAATTTAATTTTCATTCATTCTCTTTTAAATCGTTGTAACTCGCTGTAACATTTACTGTGAATGTTGTTCTTAGTTGTTTTGAAATCATATGGTCAAAAAGTATTGTAGTTGTAAACAGTAGATCGTCAAGTACTTGTTAATACTTATAACCACTACACTTTAGTAAAGTAATAAAAATACCGTTGACAATTTTTTTTGCGCGGGAAGCTATATTGTAATGAAAACTTTTATTTGCAATATATTGCCCAGTGTAGTTGTTAATTCATATTAATCCAAAATGACCGACGCACTGAACCATTTAGTAGTTGATGGAAATGAAGTTTTGGAGTTGAAATTAGGTAAAAATTCATTGGTATCACTTGAGTGCAATGTTTTGAATTTGATTTATAACCTTAATCGTATTTCAGTGCGAACAGTAAAAGATATTGAGGACGATGAAGCGAGTTTCGGCCCTGAAATGTGTCACCAAGTATTTGGGGAGAACGAAAAAATTTTCGGTTACACGGATTTGAATATAAAGCTCTATTACAGTGCAGGAAGTCTTCAGACTTATCTGGGGATCGATTATACAAACAAGGTATTTCAATAAAATGGTCAATGCAAAACATGGGTAGTCTTGTAAGACTAGCCAACCATATTTACTTATATAGCCATAGGTAGACACTCTAAATCTTGTTATAACATTATCTTGTTAAAACTAGACAATGTAAAGCAATTGTAATATTTTGTTAAAAAGCTTATTAGGAAGGAAAAGTAAAAAGATTTGTGCAACTTGTAATATTAAATCAATTTTACAAGGTTCTTGGCCATCATGGTGGAAATGTTTTAGCCTTTGTAATTGTACATTTGATCTAAGGTTTATTAGGTAAATACTTAAGTTAATAGTAAACTGTTTAGCATAAAGTTATGGATTTTGTCTATGTATAATATTATTTGCAGATTGAACCCAGTAAAACAGATGGAATGAAAGCAGATGATGTAGATGGGGCATTAAGAAAGGTCTTAGCACCAGGCTATGTAACAAATTTAGATCGTTTCATATCTTTGTTGGGAAAAGATCGGAATTTTGTCCCTCATGGTCAGCTTGAGCATGCATTTCCTCTTGAATCTCGTAAGTATATATTTTGTATATAGATATTTCTTAAATGATTTTATTATAGAAAACAAATATTTTGTTTGTCAGTATGTTAACATCCAGCATAAAAAAATATGCCCATTTTGAGTTACAAACTATTGACTAATTTTGCTTATAAGCTTTTCTTTAAATTGCCTGGCTTTGAAATTATATTTTTGCTATAATATGATATAGCACCAACATTTTAGGTTAATATATTGATTTAAAATTGAGTAATATTAAACTATTTTATGATAATATGAATGATGATGGTAATATGTTTTTAATTTCCAGGTGATGGTGGTGAGAAAAGGCTATTTGAAGTATATTACAGTGAAACATCAACTCCTGGCTTCTTGGCTTACCATCAGCGCCTACAAACCTTTCTCCTGTGGTATATTGATGCTGCTTCATTCATTGATGTGGATGATGATCAGTGGACTTTCTTTACAGTGTAAGTATAAAATGATCGAATCACATATGCTACAACTTAGGGTCCTTCAAGAAGAGAGTGTCCCATTCTCAGAGGCTCTATGGGCATTGTTGAACACCCCTGTGTTCTCCTGTTTATTGCCCCCTTATTTTATAAAAAAAGATATAATGCTTGGGGTCAGCTCATGAAAAGACTTTCTCGCAATATAAGTTTTGAGATTGTGTAAAAGATATAAGAATAATTCATTGAATGGTTTGATTCCCTAATATGATCCTTAACATAAATAAATAAATGTCATATCATTGACCATTGAATAGTTTTGAGAAAGGCAACAATGAAAACACATCAACATAATCCATTGCTGTGTTGTTAGGTTAAAGACACTTAATATCACAAACTATTCAAGTTTATATTGGAAAATGATCTTGGCATAGAAAATGTTATATGCTAAGTTTTTTTTACCTTTCAGCTTTGAGAAATACTGGACCAGTGATGGAGAGGTTCGGTACGCTACTGCTGGATATGCGACCGTGTACCGCTACTACGCGTACCCGCGGCACACTCGCCCCCGGGTCTCACAGGTGTTAACGCTACCACCTTTCCGGAAGATGGGATTGTGCGCAGCATTACTACAGGCAAGTACATTGTTCAACTCTAATAAATTCTTACTATTGTCTGAATTGTTTGTGTTAAGAAAACAAAGGAATGCCTTTCAGGCGTAAATGGCCCACCCCATTCAAGAGGAGTGGATAGGCATTTACTAAACTAGTGTGTAACAATTTTTACAATTTAAAACTAGGTCAGATTGCGCTCAAGCACTAGTTTGTTATAAAAATTATTAGAATAACATATTTTTCTTAAAGAAAGAAATTGTTTTCATAGAAAATATTAGAATAACATTAGTTTCTGTCTACATGAGAGCCTAAATTTACTCTATGGCTATAAATAAGGTACTACACAATGCTACCTGATGTAAAAAGGTGTCAAGATGGACTATGATTGTTAAATGTCATCCGATTTATATAATGTATTTATTTCAGTCAGTATACTCACACTTCATGTCTCAACCTGAAGTAGTGGATATCACAGTGGAGGACCCTTCACCAGAGTTCCAGAGAATAAGAGACTATGTTGATGCAAAGAATTGTGAATCTCTATCTGCATTTCAACCTGCTAAATTATTACATGGGTATGTTATTACTATAGTAGTCCTGTTTACGTGCAGTATCGAGATTTTTACCTAACTATTACTATAGTTAGGTAGGTAACTCACAGGGCTAGTGAACATGTTAACACCAAAGAGTCAATCTTTAAAACAAAAATAATTTTAATATTTAAAAAAAAATCATTGTAATGTGACTGTGAGGCAACTATTCAAACATTATGCAATTTTGTCAAAAATTCTCTTGATGGTACATATTTTGTTTATAATTTAGTTTACGCTCTCTTATTTTCTTTGAAAAAATAATCATATTCCTCAATAGTTTCTCCCCGGAAATGGAGAAGCAAGCCCGCAAAAAGTTCAAAATAAACAAGAAGCAGGCGCGCCGCGTCTACGAGATATTACGACTGAAGAGCACCAACACATCTGACAAAACTGCATATCTTAGCTACAGGCTGGATGTTAAAAACCGACTCAATGCACCGTTTCAGGTAATTATAAACTGTCACTTCTCCACCCTAGCTCATATGGGTATGTAAATGTTTCGGCAAAGCAAACTACTGACTATGAACTGACTGAAAATTGCATTAAAACATACTTTAGTCCCTATATTTGACAGAATGTCAATATGTTTTGATACAAGTAAGATTGAATACAAAGTTTTTGGTCATGGTAAGTTTTTATGCAGCAACTTGTACACTGCTATTTAAAATACTAAAATTCTTACACTTCACAGAAAAAGAAGTTGGAAATGAAAAAGTTACAAAAAGTTCTGAATTCCGATGAGTACATGGCGACCCTAACATCAACTGGTGCCAATGAAACACAGAGCCGTCTCTCCAGTCAGTACCTGGATTTGGAGGAAGAATACAGACGCGTTATACATAGAATGGACCACGATTAAACAAACGCCATGAAAAAAGTTAGATCTGCTCAAGGGATTACCAAGAGTTGTCACTTTTTTCATTGTAATGGATGTAATACACTTTGTTGTTATGTTCAATGTTATTCCGTCTATACTGGTCTAAAATGTCTTGATTTTTTTTTCATTATGTATTGTTAGATATAAACTTACATAACTTTGAAATGAATAGTCATCAAAGAAAAATGTTCTCAGATGTTGAAATAAATACAAAGTTCAGGTTTTTTCTTTTAAAAATTCAGAAAGTAATCTTTTCTTGACTATCTTTATTTTCTTTGATTAGAATTTTGAAAGTACTGAAAATAGTTGTAAGATGAATTTTGAATTTATATGGATTCTTACTAAAATTGTTTTTTTAATTTTGTCAAAGAAAGAAAACAGTATAAATCATTCGATGGATAATATAGCTTTGTGAATTATCGTTTTGTCAATTATTAATTATCTTGTATAAAAAAAGATTGGCAACATTTGCTCAAATGTCAAGCAATGGTAACATTTGTGTTTTAATTAATGGTTGTAATTTGATATTCGATGTGATCCATGTTCGTTATTAAAAAATTAAAACAATTGAAAGGTTTGTTTCATGTTTTAAATTAAATTGAAGGAGTTAACTAAAATAACTGTCATTTCTTCCTTACCTCCCTTTCCACATGTGAAGGAAATAGTATAAATTTGTTTCGATTGAAAATTCGAAAATTTAAAAAAAGATATCTTGATAGATATTACATGTGAGCTTTCGTACAGCAATATTTTCTTGCGTAAACATAACGTTTGTTTTATTAATCTCAGGTTATCAGTGAAAGGTAAAGGATTCATGGAATTTCTTTTTTGCTTATAGCACACAACATATATACAAAAAAATTAGACAAATAAGTAACTTATTATGCCGTTGTGATGTCACTAATTATAGAGTTCGGATATCCGTGTTGGACATCTAATACTTTTGAACACTTATACACTATGATCACATCACTTCACTGTTGTACTTCGAGTCTTATTACTTTATCAGAGTTCTTGATGGAATGTTCCTTTGTAGACTGGCCACATAAATGATGGCTAGTATTTGTGTCGATTTAAAACGCCGCTTGAAGATACCGAGAACTAATTTTGACACTTTTCGGACATAATAGGTAAATGCAATAGAGTTGTCGTTGTACCTCGTCTAGATACATATCGACATTTTCCTACGTCTATTAATTTTCAAACACATTGTTCCATCTCTATTATTAGTTCCGTAGATCTTTACCGCTGCCGTCAGCGTCAAAATGAAATAAACACAAACTACTACAGTCCACAGCCAGTCCAGTATATTGAGGTCAGTTGGGTTCATACGTTTAGTTCACCGCGCGCGCATGTCGCGTGCGCATGCGCGGCCTGCGTCAGGATAGTGGTGGGGTTGAGCGAGGCGTCTCTCGCCGCTCTGTCGCCGTCAGTGCGAATCTGACCGTCCATCTGACGTGTAGTGCATCTCTCCGAACCATTCCCCGTGTTCGTCCAAATATCTATAAAAGTTTTATTAACTAATTTAAATTTAATTGAGCATAATTAAATCTTTAATTATTAATACCCGTTATGAACTCGTCGGTTAGAAAAAACATAAAAATTATAAAGAAATTTGTTTATTAACAAAGACAAAATTAGGGTACTTACTGAACAAACATGTCGATATTTTTCAATATAACCTTCAGTTTCGATTCTGCCATATTCGTAGCATTTAAAAATTCAGGTAGTTTTACTGTGAATAAGAAAAGAACATTATGATGATTACAAACTTTAGATATTTTACAACGTTTAAATGGTAAAGATAAGACAGTTATTACCAAATAGCCTCGCGAGGTGTGTGGCGCCATATATCCTGCATGGAAGATGCTGTGTACTTTCGTCTCGGGGGATCACTCGCCATTTTGATACCTAATCACAAAGTTATTAAATATTTATGACTAAAATAATGTGAAATGTAATTATTTTCCAATAGGTAAACTAAAAGGAACAGAGATAATTGATGAAATTAATTATTAAAAATTCTGAGTGAGGATTTCGGTGTAAGCTAAAAGATTATAAAAATGCATAAATGCGTACCTTTTCTAGTAGCAGTGAGAGGGGCGTTCGCGTGAGTGGAGGCGGGGCGGGCGGGGGCGCGCGTGCCGCCCTACCGCGCCACTCCTCGCTCAGAGACGACATCGTGCTCTCCACACTGACCATAAACATTTAGTTACGATTCAAACGAAATATGGTACATATATTATGTTTTAATCAATTTGTGATTTACCTGGAAGATTGCGTGTCGAAGGGCTTTTGTTCGCCACCAGTGGAGGTCGACGGCGCCTGCTCCTCGTTTTCCGAGTGAGACTTATTGGATTTGTATGAACGGAGTCTGAAATTATATTCGTCTTAAGAAAGAAGCCTAAAACTAAAATTCTTTTTTTTATGCGTAGTTTACGACGATATAATGGCGGCCTACAGTTCGTTTTATTTATTTTATTATCGTGTACCTCCTGGTATAGTGTCCGCTGCGTGCGGCACAGCGACGGCCACGCGGTGTGAGGTCTTCGCACTGCTCCGCCTCCTCGCTGCTCGCCTCCATCTTGACGCACTTCACGTCCACCTTCACCTCCTCCCCTTCACACTCGTTGTTAGGATCTGTTATTGTTAACTATATACTAAGATTATTTATATTCAAGCATTTTAAATACAATAATGATATTACATTATTAAAATAAAAAAATTATGAATTTCGGTTCTCTTCTCGTTGTATCTCGCAGTTTCCACAAAAATGTTTAAAGTAATATTTAAGACGATAATTGGAAACATTGTAATGGCCAACTTCATCAATAAGTAAAGTTTTTTATAAGCTTTTTTTCTTTACGCTGCTGTTATTCGTGATGACTGAATTTAAGTATATGTTTAATTTGTAGTCCCTTACTACTTACTACATTCAAAAGTTTAAAAAACTATTTACCTGAATTCGAGTTGGTGTTATTGTATGAATTTCCACGGTAGACTGATTCCATCACTTTTGATTTCGAGTCTTCTACAACAAAACATTAGAAAAATAAAATTTACTAACATTTGACTCAACAAACAAACATTGAAAATTTTCAATGATTTTATATGTATGTTATTAAAACCTAAAAGCTTACCATCTTCGTCTTTTACTTGATCGTTCTCTTCTTGGTATTCGTCAGCATTTTGACCGTCATTATCTTCATCATTTTCTGCCATGTTATCTACGTCCATTTCTTCATCTTCCTCTTCCTGATTTTGTGCATTGTGTTCGTCGTCTTCTGCACTGTTTTGCTGTACTTCGTTTTGACTTTCGACATTATTCCCACTGTTTCCTGCGTTATTTTTTACTTCATGTTCTTCATTTTCTACATTGTTTTGTTGTACGTTGTCTTCTTCATTTTCTTCTTCACTGTTTTCGTCATCTTCGTCGTTTTCTGCTTTATTTGGTATAGCATTGTTTTCGTCATTTTCAGCGTTATTATGTACAACATTAGCATCACCATTATCTACGTTATTGTGTACAGCATCTTCTTCATTTTCAGCGTCGTTATCTACAGCATAATCTTCATCGTTTTCTTCGTTGGAGTCTACAGCATCATCTTTTTCGTTTCCTATATTATTGTTCAGACCATTATGGACGACGTTATCTACATTTTTGTGCAGAACATCTTCGTCGTTTTCTTCGTTACTGTGAACATCATCATCCACCTCGTTGTCTACAGTATTCTGCATAACATTATTCACTCCGTTCTCTACATTGTTGTGTAGAGATTCATTTTCATCATTATCTGCATCGTCACTTTCGTCGTGTTCTGCGTCGTTTTCCATTTCATCTTCTTCGTCATCTTCTGTTTCGCTCTCTTGTGAGTGGTTGTCAATATTATTATGTAGTACATTTTCTACTTCCCTATCCTCTTCGTTATCTTCTTCGTAATCTTCTTCATTATCTTCGTCATCCTCTTCATCATCCTCCGCTTCATTTTCTTCGTTTTCATCATCATTTTCAGTTTCGTTTTCTCTGTTGTTTTGACTACCGACAGGATCGGGTGGCAGATGTGAATATTCCGTCATTTTTTGACTATTATTTTCTTCGTCTGTCGCCGCGGCGTCTTCTTCTTGAGAATCTTCGCTCTCACTTTTTGGCTTAACGCTTTAATTTAAAAAGTTAGAAATAAGAAAAGAGATCTATTGAATTTGTTTCAAACGATGAACATAGTTAACAGAAATACTCTACAAACAACTTACTCTTCATTATACTGTCCACATAATTGCCAGTATTGAGGCTGCTCCTGTTTGTAAAGCAAATGGTCGCCGAGGATAAAATCAATGTATATTCTAATGCCCTCCGCCACCTCTCTGACTAGATGCAATCTGAAAACCAGTTAACACAATATGCCTCTTTAAAATGTAGTAACGAAACAAGATTATTTATTTAAGGCCAATTCCAAAAACGCGAATAAAAAGTTTTAAAAACAACGAGTAATCAGTTTATCTGAACAATCCTAGTAGGGTACCTGCAAGATACGTCGAGTATATCAGGCCGTTGCGCAGGCGCATGCCTCGTCCTTGTAGCCTGCCACACACCGGTGTGCGCAAACCACTTGACGTAGGACTCCAGTATTTCTGCAGCGTTCGGTGACGCCGGCAGCCGCGCCAGCCGACCACGCTTCACTACCAAGTGGTAGTCGAATGTTAGACGATCCCTATATAGAAATACCTGACATTTAAACTGGTACGAGAAAAAGATATTCCCCTACGTTCGGATTTGGAAAGCGAATACTAAGAAATACAGAATGCTCTACCAAATCTAATCCAGTAGATCGTTACAAGTCGTATTCTTATATGAAATCATATTCTGTATTGATTAAAAGTTTATGATTTTGTAAAAAACTAAAAAAAAAATGTTGTCTTTAAACAACAGTAATGGATACAAAAGTGTCCATTGAGAGTTTATGTTGGTATCACTTAAAAGTCGGTTATTTTGTAAACGGGTCAAAGGTCTCCTAAATTCTCCTATGTTGGTTGTTACCTGAGGGCAGGTGGTATAGGTATGTCAGCTTTGAACCCCTGCGGCTTGCGCGGCAAGAGCTGCTGGGAGTCGGAGCTGCTGCCACTGCCTGAGTCCGAGCCTGAACTCGTTGCTGACCCATTTGATAAGTCCGTGTCCCCTGGCTCCACTTCTACATAATATAGGAAAATTATGCAAAGTATAATTTACGTATAGGATGGCCCATTCTTCCCCTTACTGCTCATAGGGGAAGAATGGGATTGTCCAAACATCTTATTGGTTTTTGTTCTTTTTGTCATAAGCTTTAAGTGTGTAGCATTATTTGTTTTTTTCCAAAGTACTTTTCTGAAAGGTAGGGAGGCTTATGTCCTGTAGGCTAATAAAAAAAGAGATTATTGATTCATTCATTATGTACTATTCCTAGATTGTTTGGGGGATAATGTAATAAACGTAAATTGTATTGACCATCAGGTTGTGTACTGGTTGATGATCCGACATCGCTGCGCCCATGACGGGCGCGCTTCGCGGGTCCCGGGTGCGCGGTCGTGTTGACTCTCTTCTTACGCTCCTTTCTATATAAATATGCTCCCCTGTATATGAAAGTTACATATCATTATAATAAAAGTGTTTAAGGAAAGATAAATATTTCTTATAAGTATCAAGTATATTATTTTCTCCATGTGCAATAGAGTATAAATAGAAATTTTTGTCCTTTTTATCTTGCAAATTTGTAAAAGAAAATATTTCCTACCTCCGATTATTTACTTATCTAGATAGAGCGATTAAGTGTTGAAATGCCTAAAAAAATGTCAGCCAAATGTTGGTTTAAAGTTCGCCCTGTTAGCTCCTTGGTGACACAAAATTGCTCGGTAAAAACATGTTTTATGAAATTTAAAAATGACAATTAGGTCCATAAAATTTAGCAGCAATTACTAAAGAACATTGAAAACAACTAAAAATATTGTCTATTATCGGAAAGTAGCATTGGCAGTTAAAAAAAAAGTAAATTTTTAAAAGTGTAATTTTGTCTTACAACAACCCCATTTTTAAGCACCATAGTCCTTGAGTCTTGTTCATTTACATATTTATTCACTCTTATAGGAAATAATCAGGGAGTTTGTATCACTTAACTTGCATGCAGTGACAAAAACATTAGTAGTGTTTAAAATCCCGCCTGTTGTCTTCATTGTAATTATAATGCAACACTCTATCGAAATAAGTATATAATCAAAGTATCTAACAATCCATTTCAAACTCTAAACAATAGGTTTTTTTCCAATTTTCAGGTTTGAATTGAAACCAAAAATAGTCAAAGGATTAAAATTACAATTGGAGCTGTGACTTCTCAGCTAAGTCCCTCTGCAACTGTCTATTTTCTTGTGTGTCCTTAAGTACAAAGTCTTCACTAACACAACGATCCCACGATGAATTCCAACCTTGGAAATGTATTAGATACTCTACGGTACGACGTCCTCTTTTGTCTTTGCTCTCTATTACTTCTAAAACCTGTTGACAAAATGTTTATTTTTTACACATTAACTTGAATAAAAGTTGAATTTTAAAAGTTTCAGTAAATAGCACAACATTCCTATTAAGTCTTATTTAAGTCCTAAAAATTGGTTCATAGTTTTAAATATTAATCAATCAATAAAGTGATAAGTTAAAGCCAATGTAACGTACCAAACAATAATTGCGACTAATAAATGACGCATTAGAAATGATACACTAGCTAGAAATTAATAAATTAATTCCAATTTATAACAATAATTTAGGTTTAAAAAAAACAGTTACAAACCTTAGAATCATACAACACTTTTGCCTTTGTAGGGTCAGGTTCATAGCAAAGGACTCGCTCTCCTTCGCTAAATTTATAGCGTAAACTTCTCGTTGATACCATTCCTTTTTAATATAGACTTCAAGAAAACAACACGTTTTTAAAACCACTTAAAGTGTTATTTTTGTCGTAAATATTCAAACCGCCTTAGAATCATAGTGAATATTACCATAGTTCTAAATGGAAATTGCATCTAGTTATTAAACACTTTCAACAAAAACTTAAGTGAACACTTATACAAATATACATATAAAAAAAAAACTTATACATATAAAAAATAAAATTTCGTAGAGGCAAAGTAGAGACTGTTGGAGACGTATTTTATTTAAAAGAATAGAGAATAGCTTGCGGCTTGTTTGATTTGCTAGCTTTTTGTTTGACATTGACAGTTGTCAATTTACACATAAACAAAGCAAGATTTTCCGATTTTACAAAAAATTTATTTACTTCAGATAAAAGATTAAATACAAAATTACCTTACTATTTTAACAATTTTATTATTAGTTTTTACAAATCAATTTTCAAATCAAATTGTAAACATTTACGAATAACTATTACGTTACAGTTACCTTCTTAACACATTCCATGCTACTACGATTTTTTCACTGAACTTATTAGAATCTTAAAGGTTACCATTGTTAAATTTACTGTCGCAGCTTACCCTTTATTGTAAAATTTACCATTTGTTGTAGCAGCAAACATAACGAAGTCACAGTAACACTGCAAACATTGGCACACACAAACTGAAATTAATAGCTATTAAATTTTTGTAGGCGCCTATCATTGATATAAATGGAAAAGTGGCAGCAAGGCAGGAAACTTGAAACTTAACAACAACAAATCAACAGCAAGTGTCGATATCTAGTTAAATAGCAATATTTAAAATGATTATATAAATATTATATTATATTATCATCTTACACATATATTTACAATCCATATTTTATTTTTTAAGTGCTAAAGTACTTTATTTTTTTTAATGCTTATTCCTATTTTGTGACTAATAAATAAATAATATATTAAAAAAAAATCTTTAACAGATCGATATGAAATGATCTACGAACTTATGTAAAGGCGTAGGTGCTTGAATTCTCAATTACGCAATTTGTCCCAGCTCGGCGCTGGCGCCTTCGATATCGTGGGTACTGCTAAATATCAAGGCTTCTTTTAATGGTTAATTCATTGAGTTTGAGTGTATGTGTGTTTTCATTACGGAATAATACCATTATCAATAACAACGCCTGGTCGAAAGACCTCCATACAAAAGAGCATTTAAATAAGGATTATTTTGAAGTCGAAATTTCACTCAAAGACTTATTGATAGGTTATTGATTGCTTAGTTTTACAAAATTTTATAATTTTGTTATATTAAGGTAAATAAAAAATATCATTTACAAGAATACAAAAAATAATTTATTAAGCCTATCGTATAGTTTAACAACAAAACGATTTATCACATAATGACATGAGTATAACCGTATTGCAGTATTTAGTTAGAGAGTTTTGGCATCAGTTCAGTTCAGTGGTGGTAGAGGGGAGCGGAGTAGTACGCGGGGGAGGCGAACTTGGCGATGGGGGCAGCGTGCACCAAGGGAGCGGACGCGTATGTGTAGGGGGTGGCGATTTTGGCTACGGGAGCGGCGTACGCGACGGGCGCGGCAATCTTAGCAACAGGCGCAACAGCTGCCACTTTCACACCGAGAGCTTCCTTGCGGACTACGGCGTTGAAGCCATTGTGGGGGTCGGCGGTGTAGTCAACAGTACGCTTGGTGCCATCAGGGTCGACTACAGAGTAGGATCCCTGGACGACATCACCGTCGCGGGTCTCATGCTGGGACTTGGAGTCACCGGTGAGACTGTCCTGTACGTCGTAAGCGAAGTTGTACTGTGGGTGGGGATCGTACTCCTCGACGGCGACCTTAGCGACCTTGGCGACGGGCGCGGCGTAGGCCAGGGGTGCAGCGTGGACTATGGGGGCCGAGTGGTAGACGGGGGCCGAGTGGTAGACGGGGGCCGAGTGGTAGACGGGAGCCGCGGAATACGCGACGGGAGCAGCTGGGAGCAAGCCAGCGCTGGCAGCCGCCACCAGGCAAGCGAGGATCACGAACTGTAAACAAGACAAAATTTTAAATATTTGGTTTACTTAATAGAAAAGAGCAATATTTGAGGATGAAATTATTATTTTTTTTCATCTGTAGTACCTTGAATGCCATTGTATAAGCGTGTGTTGCTTGAGGATCTCGAATGATATCTGATGAGGACCGTAAGGAGCTTTTATATGAGACGCCGGGGCTCACCCTTTCACCGTCGGGCCGCGTGACGTCATGCGACATTGGCTATTCGCCCCGGGCTGACTCGAATTTCCGGCGCACAGAAGCCCTGGTATCAACTTATCAAGAAGCGGTTTAGTAGTTCCGGTGAAGCGGTTATTAATTGAGCTTAAATTTAAACTCCTAACGTTACGTATTTTATATAATTGGTAGAACCTAGATAAATATTATTTATATAACATTTATTTCTAAGATTATCCTTATTTTAACCCTTTTAACTGACGTATTTAGGCGTTAGCAAGTACATTTTTAATAGACTTTGTTTGTACATATAAATTTCATTGTTCATTCAAAATTCAAGTTTTTACAACTACACACATAGTAGTAGTAGTAAGTTTAAATTTAGTATTAATATTCTTTATAGTGACATAAATTATCGTCTAACTGTTGCGCAAAGTTCGCGAATTTATCTACAGCTTTAAATCACGTTGTTGCGATATAATGTAGCTGCGCGTAGGACGGATACATTAGCATTTGTAAAGCACATAAATTGTGTTAATAAGTCCAAAAAACACTTACTAAATGTAATTACATCATAGGTACAGCAATTGTATAGAAATTAAGAAGTGACAAAAATTCCCACGAGCCTTTGTAAATTATTATATGTTTTGCTCATATTTTTGACACAAGAAAAATAAGCAAAAATATTGTTATTTATAGTATTTTGTATCATCTTACTATAAATACGAAAGTTTGGATGTATGGATGGATGTTTGTAGAAGTTATCTCCAGAACAATTTAATGGATCTCTATTAAGTTTAGCATATATGTAGAACGTAGTCTGGAAGAACACATAGTCTGCTTACTATTTTTTTTTAATTCCGTACGGACGGAGACGCGGGCGACAGCTATAATTAAATATTTTAAGGTCATCCTTCGCATGATTGGATTTTAAAGCGAACCAATGAAGCACGAAGTAAAGCTCAATGAACTTATTTGTTATGTTTTCAATCACGGTTTATGGCACGTATTGTTACCACGCATATAATGTTTGATTTTAAGACGGTCTGAGACATTTCAGACATACGGACAGACGAGAAATCATCTATAAATAGTTGCTAGAATAATATTGCTAGATGTTTTTCTGGTATACGATAAAAGGGTGAGTATGGACGTATTATTTCAGGGATAGAATGATAAGTAACAATGGGAGGCCAAGATGTCAATGTATAAAGGATAGAAGAAATAAGAAATATGATATGATATCTGTACGCATATTATGTTTTACTTTCGAAACGTTTTTCTAAACTGGTTCATTATTACCGAGTTATTAAAGAGTACGCATAGTGATATAACCAAGACTTTTTTTGCTATCGCAGGAATGTTGGGTTATGTGAGGCTGGACTTAACAAAAGCCCATCAGAGGCCATCCATTGCGACTAACCATAAAATTCAAAATAAGTACTGAGTCAGGAGGTTGGTGTAATAGCGTTATTTTATGCGAGCACGTATGCTCTGGTTACATACTTAGTACTGCATTGTGCAACGACCACGCCCGGCGGCGAGTCAAGGATCCTCGGCCACTAATGCCACTTTTACATTAGTTCTCACGACTTCTACCCTTATCGAATTAGATTAAACAAAGATACTAAAAGCTCCTAAAGTGGCATATCTTACCTATCTTAGCTCCGGCCAGAACTATTCAACATTTACATATGTCTTTTTATTTAATTAATGTACAGATTGTCTCTCTTCACCCAAATTTCCCTTATGTTAAGATTTTGTGTTATTCAGGACAACGAAGAAAAAACAACGCGGATTATTAATTCCGTTTTTACCCGTCTGAACAGAGTATATGTAAGTTTGTATTTATGTATGTGACTAAACCATTCATCTTCGTCCCCGATGTGTCATAGAACAGTGGAAGTAGGGAATAAAAGTCTAAATTAGTAAAAAACGAGTTCTCGTCCAATTAGCCATTATTTAATTTGGTTTAAGGATATAGATGGCTTGATGAGAGCCTCAGGTTATTAGCGGACTTTAGTAGCTATTCACTATTCTATTTCAGTTGGTATATCTTTGAGCCTTGAGCGACTGGACGTAAAGAAAATTAGTTTAGAGTTAATTCGTAAGGGGCGTTTTAGACATTTACAGTAAGTAATTTTTTCATCATAAGCTATGTTTTTTTTAAAACAAGTTCTAATTAAGTTTGAAATGTGTGTTCGTGTTCGTTCGTTCGAAGTAAACGTGCAGAATGAAATCGTCTTGCAACAGTTTACACTGACATTACGATTCCAGTACAGCGTGTATAAAATACTTGTATTATGCGTATTAAATAACACATATAGCTGCATGCAGGGAATGTAGCGCAGGGTCACAATTTCATGAGTTTCGTCGTCAACCAGTATCGAATGTCGCGCGTGTGAATATGTTAATCTTGTAACCACTTTATTACACTTTAGTATTGTTGTTATGTGTCTTATTAATGGATAATAAAATGAGACAATTTATTTATGTAATTTATTGTTTTTGATACTTACATAGGTGATTTTTTTTGTTAACATACAAATATGGTCATTACACTTCTTTTCTGTTGTTTTATACTACTGGAATTTTTTCTAAAACATCATCGATATAATCTAATAGTAATAATAGTTAATGCAATCTAGATTCATTCTGAAGAAGTATCAATTTTATGATATAAAAAATAAAATTTAATAGTATAAAAACTATAGCATTTTTATTCATACTTTCAATTATTTAAAGAAGTGTTGAAACTACAAACAGAACACTTAATAATTCAAGGATTCATAAACAATCATACTAATTACACCATGTATTGAGAGGCCGTGATTGAATTTGGGAGCGTACTATGTTCATTGCTCATTGCCCGCGTAACAGTACCGTATGAAACAATAAGTGGCATCACCTTGACCTTATACGTGGGATTGTCCACAGAGTAGTGAGTATGCAGAGTGATAAAAAAATAAAAGCTGTTTGAACAGAAAAAAAAACCAATTAATTGGAAAGTTAACGCAATGAAAATAATCTTACTATAATATTATAAATGCGAATATTTGGATGGATGGATGGATGTTTGTTTGAAGCTTTCTCCAGAACGGTTGAACTGGTCTCGATGAACTTTGGCATACATAAACAACGTAGTCTGGAGGAACATTGGCTACTTATTATGTTTTCTTTTAATTCGTAATCTATTTCCTTACGACAAATTATTTAAGATAGGGAATCAATATATAACATTCCAGACCATATTATGAGAATACCAACGAATGTTAAATTTTTAATCGTAATTTCTACAATGCTATGATCTGTGCGCACATTTGGAACTGTCTCCCACTAGCCGGCCACTACCCCCGCCAGCAAAGATCAGGTAATGGCACTAGGTGATATTATCGCGGCTTTAAGAAATAAATTATAAATCATGTCCTTGTTGTAGACAGAATTTCATTGAAGTCATTTCGAGGTTTTTTTAATATATGTATGTAACTACTCAATGGAAGTATGGAAAGATATTGAACTATAAAATCTGTAAGCTGATATTTATGCAAACTATTAAAGCGTATTTTGTTGAGTTAATTTTTTTCAAGCCGTTAATGCCATCTTAATATTCTCAAGCGCTTTTATTGAAAGCTTGGTCGGGCTAATAGTTTTGGTTTTGAATTTTACAAGCACTTTATATGTCTTTTTATAAAGTCATCTTAGGTAGGAATAAATCGTTTAATCGAACAAAAAAAAAATAACGATAAAGAAAATTTAGCATTTTTTTTTATCTGGTGAATAGTTGCGTGACTTTGGTGGTGTGTTTTGAAAGTCAATCATATATCGCGGGCACGGATCGGAAATACCTAGATGTAGAGCGCGAGGTCGGTACGCGCTACTTACTTGTTCTAGATTAAAGGTGCTTACACATTACAACAACGAATGTAGTAACAATTGGTTCCTTCTCCCGTAACCCTAAAATTGCACTGCACTTGTATTTGCATTAATGCACTAGCGGTTACTGGCAACTTTATTAAAACAGAATTAAAAAAGTAGCCTAAGATATTCTCGCATACGTAAGCTACCCTTCCGTCAAAATCGATCAGAGGTACGGTAACGGTTCATGCGCTGTTCTTACTATCCATCCATCCCAAAATAATATATCCATTTAAAATATTTGACTAAGATTACCTAACAAGGAGATAGTACCAAGTGGGAGTAACTAGCATACTTTTTAATTTGCTTTTTTTAAATAAATTTAAACCTACAAAAATGAATATGTAAGCTAATAAATAAAAAAACATGACGAATGTATGTGATGTGTAGCCACCTTTATTCGTATACAATAAATTCGCACAAGGCAGTGGCATTTACGTAACGTCTCATGCGACTACTAACATTTGATCCACCTCCGCTACTTTAGTGTAGTCGGTTAGTAATAAGAAATTGAACTTTGTTGAATACAAGCAACTTACTAACTTCCATCATAAGAACAGGACCGGGCATTGTGGCAATCGATGGGGGAGGTCTACATTCAGCAGTAGACGAATTAGGGCTGAATATGATGATGGTCATAAGAAAATAGTAAAATGACAATAAGTAACTCATAAAAGTTAGATTTTTGAACCAAACATTGAAGAGCAATGAAAAGCGCCAATAGCCGAAAGGTTCAAACGGATTTCAAATCACATGTTCGGGATCGAATTCGATCGTTGTTGCAAACCATATCCTATCACAAGGTTAGAACTTAATTGGAATGGTACAATAAATATTAGTAAATTAACAAAAATCTGCTAATAAAAAATTATATAATAAGTATGTTTAGTTTCACCGTTGTGAAAGAGACCCAATGTAATGTATAATAGCCGATATGATGATAAGAACTTACTGAAACTAAAATAAAACCTGATTTCTTGATATTTATCTACATATAAACATGGATCGCACGTTTATAAATTCAAATAGAGTTAAATGCTACACTTATGATTCAGTGTGCAATAGCTCGAATTTCATAACTCTTTATAGTGGCCAGCATGC